TTTGAGGGAAAGAGGAGGTAAACCAGATAAAGGCAGCGACGGTGAACGAGCGATGGGCAGAGAAGTGGAGGAAACACAATGGATGAAAAGGGAAAATGCTGAGCGCCGGGGTGTAATGAGGAAAAAGGGGGAGAGGAAGGCAATGAGGGAGACAGATCTACTAATGCAGATACCATGTATTCTCATCCGGGGTTGACAATGCTTCTTGTTTTGTACCATGTTGCACCCTCTCCACCCAATTTCCTTCCTCTCAACACTGTCATAGCAAAACAAATCAGACCTTTAATGAGGATGGATTACCTGCTCTCCTTGTGAAGCGTGGAGAGGAAAAAGGAGGCTTGGAGCACAGCCTGGAAGTGTCACCTGACCTAGCAATGGATTTGACACAACGCCTGTGATTAGCAGGTTGATAGAAAGGCAGCCTGATCATATAAGGTCCAAATAATATGCAAGAAGAAAGCAGAAATAACCTTTGCTTTCGAAATGCAATCTTTTTTTCTGCCAGCTGAAGAAAAAGGCAGAAGTTGCCTGCCGTTGGTTTTTTTTTGTAGGTTACGTAACATATACCCTACGACGCACAGGGTAGCAATTTGACGTGAACATCTATACTCATTCTGAAAATACATTTTTGTTAAACTATGCTATAGTTCACAGAATGAATGTTCAGATGATGAATCTGCTACATTGTATTCAAAATTCAATCAAACAATCTCGGCTGTTCCACTTACCCAACAATAAACGTTAAACTGATTTTAAAATGTATTTTTCATTTAATCTAAAAGGGTAATCGATGACCGTGTATTTTGCCCGTCAATTTTCACCTAACTATTTGCATTGTATGATAGTGAAGGAGGATTTTGGTGATTCACTAAATCACTGTATGGCGCTGCAGTGTATGGAGGCTCCATGATGATTAAGTGAAGCACAACAATATGATTTGCCGCAGGCGGAGCTTTAAGTGGTATAGTATCAACTGATTAGCCAACAAAAGATAGATTAGCTGCAGACAATTAAAGCACCACAGTGAACATGCTCACCTAATGATCTATTATTTAATTGCCGCAAACAGACGATTATGAAAAACCTGGATTTTTCCAGCATGCGTTGAATTGGAACAGGGCGTCACATCCACATCGCGATCTTGTTTCCACAGCCCGAGCCAGTCAAAGACCTCAACTATCATTAGACTGCGTAATGACAGGCATGTGCCGTGGGTGCACCTCAAAGTTCACATATGGAGTACATATGTTCCAGGCCAGCACGTATACACGTCTACAGCAGCACTAAGCGCTGCGTTCCCCTCTAACCACATGAAAACAGCCCGAGCATAATTGATGATATTAGAAGGTTGAAGGAGGGGGGCCGGACAAGTGTGTGTGTGTGTGTGTTTGTGCGTGTGGTTTGTAAATTGACAGGATAGAGAACTGGCGTTGGTAGTGTGTGTTTGTGTGCACTAATGTCAAGGCAGATGTTAATTACAGCTTCGACCTTTAGCCGATCCTGGACTTGGACGACAGACTACTTCCAATAAAGGCCGACGGTTGGTGCCTGTCGGAAAAGGTCTAGTTTCAACTTTGTAATGTTACATTAGTTTGTGAAGCCGGACGGTGAAGGAAATATGCGTTCCCTCCTTGTTGTTGATGTAGATGTTTGAGAAGATTGATACCACTTGTGTGTTTGTTCATACAAAAAAAACAAAATGAAAAATCACAAAAGGGTGGTTTTACAGGTGGTTTTGTCTGTGGCTTCCCATAATGGCTCGGACCGAGCCAGGCAATTTGCCTTTGCCGCGCTAAGCTAGGCTAACCGCTGCCTATACAGTAGCTCCTTATTTAGCATCCAGACAGGGAGACGGAGCGACATTAGAGAGCAAGCACATTTCTCAAAATGTCAAACCGTTCCTTTAAAGTTCAGGGATTCTTAAGACAAATTTATTTGCACTCCGGAGCGGAAAGTTTCCTCGACCCTGTGACGGGTTTTCAGTTGTCACGAGGAGAGCACGGTTTCAACAAAACTATGTACCCAGATGAAGTGATTTGTTCAGAGTATTTCGTTCTTTTTTATCCACCGACGACAGAGTCAGAAACCCATGTTTTTCCCAAACCTCAGTTTAAGAAGAGCTGGGTTACAAGTCGGCAAGCTGCACGAGGGCGGAGATGGACGGAATTAGAATGCAGCCATGTGTCAGTCTTGAGATCACAGAGTGACTTGACTTTATACGGCGAGGGAGCGGCCGTAGATAATGAGCAGGTTCTGAGAGAATGGACTACAAGCGCTCCAGCTGAATGAGTGGGCCGGAGGAGAGCGCTCCCTCTGATGCGGGTTAAAAATGGCTCTTCCCCCTGTTCCTGTCTCTTACACCGGTGCCATTCCTTTCATTCGTGTCTCTGAGACTTCTTTATTCTAGCAGTCTCCCGAAACTCTTGCATTACCTGCCACCTCTTCTGCTCCTCTATTACCTTAATTCCCTCTCTGCCCAGTCAGGCACTTCTATAAGGCCTTGGTCTGTCTTTGCTTTTGATTATGTTGCTCTTTCAGTTACTTTCCTGCCTCCATGTCTGGCACACGCTGTCTGTATTTTGGCTCTGCTTCTCATCTTTTTGGGGGATTGGGAAACCCACTTTTTTCACGCCACCTTTCCTTTTTTTTTTTTTTCCCTCTCCAAGCTCTCCCACTTCAAATAATTCAAAACATGCTCTACATCTTGCTCAGCTCGCGCGTAGACTGAACTGTGGTCTGCAGAGAGGGGAAAAGGCTTGAAAGGACAGTGATTGAAGCAGCCGCGGTGTCCTCGCATTAAATGTGAAGGCACATTTTGGGAGTCGCTTGAAAGTGCTGCATTTGCTCTCAAACTGCCACACACACACACACACTGAGTGGTGGTTTAGAGACTGTGTGGGAGTGCATACGCCTCCGTTTCTCAAAATAACCACCAGATGAGGGGCAGGGAGGCAGGGCGAGGTTGGTACAGGAAGATATAAATGGATGCTAATTGTATGGCTCCTCCAGATTACACTGAAATCCAGCAGATTTAAATACAAACACACACTCTCTCTGGCAGTGTGTGTGAGATCATCCCTTCTCAATCACACACTCTTATGGGTAGCGGCTTTATGGCGTTAAAATGAACATGGCTCCGTGTGCACGGCACGCACGCATACACACAGATTCAAATGGATAATAATGATATGGTTCTCAAATTTGCCCCCCCCCCCTTCTCCCCCAGCCAAAGAGAACTCCCATGTATTATTTCTATAATCCCTCCAAAAATAGAGTTCAAGAGGCGAGTCTCAACAGTCATTTTCTAGATGCTCCATCCTCGCCTGTTCGGACTGAGCCCAGAAACTCACATTAGTTCTATTTGGATGCAGTGAATGAGAAGAAGATGCATCCCATCGTTTGCTGCTCCTACTCAAGTGTCACTTGATGACTTTGCAAAATAGGCTTTTTGTTTCTAATCTCACAAGAGGCTCTTCCGTGCAAGGAAGGGGAGGGAGGAGGGTGATGAAGAGGAGGAGAGGAGGAATGGACAAATGCAGATATGAATGGTGGATGATTGCATGGTTGACTCCGATGTGAGGAAGAAGTACAAGAGGGCAAATTAGAGGGTGGAGGATGCGCGGTGCACCTCGCCATGTTTACAACAGTGCACATTGCAAATGGTTTGGTAAGAAAGAAGACGTGTTTCGAAAGCATCACTTCTGCTGTGCTAGCTTTTCAGGAAACGAGAAACACAAGTGATTTTCCCAGTGACGTGCGAAACATAACGAAAATCGCCGCGGGGGGTCCCGAACATGACATCATCTGATATTTCCCCACACTGCAGAAGATGCTTTTACGCCAATATTGTGTGCGGAAATGTTGTTTTTATTTCGTTTTTTACATCTCGACAGTAAAGCACACGGGCTGTGTGCGTGCGTGCGTGTGTGTGTGTGTGTGTGTGTGTGTGTGTGTGTGTGTGTGTGTGTGTGTGTGTGTGTGACAGGAGATTAAGCGGCGTGCGCGCGCAGAGACGTTTGCGGGCTTTCAGCGCCACCTGCTGCTCTGCCAAGGAACGACAACCAGGTGATCCGGTTCGGTCCTCGCCTCCCCTCCAGTTCTTTGCTTTAGTTTCGTGGATGCCTGACGCGTTTTACCGTGACTGTAAAGTGATAACAGTGACTTCAGAGGACGGTTGTTTTCGTCACGTTCACTGGGGTGTGATCCGTGCGTTTACACGTGCACATACTGGCTCTTGCCTTACCTGCTCCTTATCAGCCTCATCAGAGGACAAAAGTAAGTGTCTCATAGCTGTTGTGTAATATGGGTCCTGCCTTGGCTTCCTTCTTCTATTTTTTATGTCACGTGTCAGAAAGAGAGCAAGGAAGGGGAAAGCAACGTGGCACAAACACGTTTTTGTGCTCATCTGCTGAGGAAGACTATGTAATACAATACAGCACAACTACAGTACGATTACTCCATTTGATTCTTTCTATGCTTATTTCAACTTCTAATCAACTGCATTTATGAGGCAATGTTGACTTTAGATAGTTAGAGGTAGACAACTTTAGAGACGAACAATATACACCTCTATAACCTTTATAACATAGGATTCATTATCATCTATTAAACCACCAAAACGCGTATACTAAGTAGGTAATATTAGCTCCAACTGCAACATCAAAATGTACTTTACACATTAATACAACAGAAATAATACTCTTAAGAGTAACATAGCATATTTCTTAAAGCGGCCATTATGTTACGTAATCAGCCTAAGTAATGCATTTAACCTACTGTAGCAGCCTATTATAAAACTTAGGTATTACTGATTTGATTTAATTGTAGGAGCAGAATCCTAACACAGGAAAACGGGTGGATAGAAATGTTCACACTTGTTCGTTAACAAAATAAATATATAAATAAATATACATAAAACCCTGCTGCGCCTCTACACTGCGCGCTACGGTAAACCGGAACAAACAAACAAATCTCCTGCCCAGTCCTCGCTTGCAACAGTGACGTCAGCGCGCAGCGGCGACGCTTCAACGTGCGGCGATTGGGCGAGCCGAGCGCTAAACCGCACATTACACCCCCCAAAAAAGACGCCGACAACAACAAAAAACAACAGCTGCGGCCACATGAGGCCGACTAAGAACACACGCGCACCGTCGGGGCTCAAGCTATAAAGACTTCGGTAAGGACACGCATTCGTACTTTTCATTGTATGCTGCTGTTAACGGCGGCCATCGTAGCGCCCGCGGCAGCTTCCGCCCCTGTGGGAAGTTTTCTTTTGTCCTCGGTCAACAACAACAAAACAAGCGACTCCGCGTTGATCGGAGGACGAGGCGTAAACGACTTGTTTTTTTTAGTAAAGGTGTAATAACGAGTCGTATAGGGGGTCGAATATGCTTTTCGTGTGGTCGTCACGAGCCGGCCGGTTATCCGCGCGGTGAATGAACACCTTTGGACCGGCAAACACCGGGGACGAACACACGATGGATGATGCCGTTTTATGGCTCTTAGATAATTAGCCAACGTGCTGCCCGACAGGAAAAAAATGGTATTTACAGTTGTCCTGTTAGACGTCGTCCACCTCGCTCTTTGCAGTCTTAATAATAGAGATAAGGACGGATGTTGCTTTGGTCGTTTTGTTTGAATGGGCAATCACACTGATCTGTTTCCAGTTCTTTCCAACAGGTGAAGTTGAAGGCAACACTTATCCAGCTGTGGTTGTATTAAAATGCTTGACGCATTCTTGTACATAAGTCATTCAGCATGAGGTCGAAATAAATAGAAATAACACAGATTAGTTGATGTGTTGTCGTACCCTCGTGTACAGCACGTGTCTCTCTTATCCCTGTTTTTAATTCCTCCTGCATCTTCCTTCGCCAGATGTCACGATGGCTGCACATTTCACCATTTCCGACAGCGAGTCAGAGCCCTCGGATGGGGTAGAGGAAAGAGAAGATGGCCAGTTATCATCGGGGCAAGAGCAGCAGCGTCTTCAACGTCACACCCTCACCTTACCTGAGCTCAGATTGTCAGGTAGGAAATCTCAAAGAATTGTGGAAAAGTGGGAAAATGAAAAGGGTGACAGGTGCAAAGTTACAGCGTGTTGCTTTACGACATGTGAGCAAGTCACACGCATATGCTGAGAACCAGGCCAGTAATGTACAGTTGAAAACTAAACCCGGGGCGGCTCCATTGATCAGTTATACTTGCACTTATTGCAGGAAAAGAAGGCAACAAAGTTTTCTGTTCCAATACAGTTTTGTGTACAGCTGCTGCTCACACAAAGAAGGGGGGGGGGGGGGGGCCCATTTTATATCATTGCAATAAAACATTCTTCCTAATGTCCAAATTTAGTGTGTGTCCCGCGTTCTTCTGCCATTTATTGGCTTGTCTCCCAGGCCTGATTTGGAAGAGATTAAATCTGCTATTTCTCAAATTGGTTTCACGGTTTCAGATGCATCGCTAGTTGTCACGTAAGAAAAATTGTAACTAGGGATTAATACTTCACTCCTATTATATTTTCTTAGAGCTACCATGTGTGTGGATCTGGTCTCACTCCTGTGGGTCAATACAAACCCCTCCTCACCTTTGCCTCCCGTAGTGCCCGGTCGAAACAGGGGGAACTCCGAGTCCCAAGCTTCCACTGCCTCCAGAGAAGAGGAGCTGTGGCTAGACGAGACCGGGACGCCCACTGAGGGGGCTCCATTCCGGGTACGTTCCAAGTCGGCTCCCCCGGCTCTGTGGGCAGCCAAGAAATACGGACGGCAGCTCCGAAGGATGAGCGACGAGTTCGACAGCCTGCTGGACAAAGGGGTGAGAACGACGGCGTCAGGGGACGAAGGGGGGGGTTCTTCCTGAAGCCAATTAGTTTGTTTATGACTTAAAATCCGTGTCTCTGTTTGACGCAGGAAATGAGGAGGGTAAAGAGCGCCGGGACGACCAAACAGATGCAGCACTCCAAGAGCTGGTGGAGTTCCCTCTTTAGTCACCAGGAGATGGAGGGAGAGAACAACCACCATGAAAGCCACACTCACCGCACTGAATAGGCACCGGGGGAGGAATTGAGAGTGGCGACGGGTGGGTTCGAGGAATCGATGGCAGGGAGAGGAAAGCAGCAGTGGGGAGGGGTGGGGTGTGGGGGGCAAGAGAACAATTGTGATGATGAGAACAAAAAAACCTGCTCTGGGAGACGATGGATGAAAGGTTGGTTAGAAGGAGGAAAATCCCCAAACACAGAGGCATGGCTAAGTGTCCCGTCCTGGTCATGTCACTTTATTACGGCATTGGTACCGGCAGCGAAATAAGACTTTTTTTTCTTTCTTTTTTTTTGTATTTGTGTTGGTTGTGATGTGACGTGCACTGCGAAATGTTAACGGTCAGCGGCAATCTGACACCCCGTAGGATGGATGCATTGAGAGACCAGAGATGATCTCTTGAACACGGAGAAAGACATAAGTGGATTTGAGCACTCACCACTTCAGTTATCTCTCCCATCAGCACTATGCAATATACTGTAGATGGGGGGGATACATGCACTGAAATCAGAACCCCCTACTTTTAACCCCCCCCCCCCAGGATGCTTTTGGAATTTCCTTCCCTGTTGTCTCGAGGAAACCAGCAATGACAGAGTGATAGTGATGCTTGTTAGGCTTCGCTCCCTTTGTTAGTGCTTAAATACAACTGAGGCCACTTCCCCTGCAGACGACAGAGGGAAGAGTATAAAAGGGAAGGATTTTTTAAAGTATACAACTTTGGGGGCCATTATCCCGCTTCCTGTTCTACTACCTGCAAGCCAGTACCATTTACGCAAACTGTACTTGACTATCATTAACTGCTTTATATCTCAAATTTATAGAAGAACAATCTCGTACGAGGACAATCTCCGTTGATGCAGAAATACTATCTTTTGTATAACTTCAGGGCTAGATTATATCTAGATAAAATGACATTAAGCATAAATATAAAAGCACAAACCAATATGAATCTATCTTTGTAAAGCCTCGGATGAGCCTAAAAAACAGACGTGGGACGTTTAATAAGTTTGGTGAACCTAGCAATAGGCAGTGTACAATCCATGGCTGTGATGATCAATGTTATGTGCGTATTTTACGTTGTGGGTGGGGAAGAGTTAACTGCTTGACCACTAGCCAACACGCCGGCCTTTGGTCCAATTTATTCAGTACCCAGTGCATATAGAGGAGGGATTTATAGAGTGGACGCCACATTTAAGCGCAGGCGGGGGGGGGTGTCAACTTGATGAATCAGTTGCCGGTCTGGTTTATGAAATGATTGAATACAAGTTGCTGCATCTGATCTGCACTGGAATGAGAACAAAGTGAGGATCACCATCTAAGCGGAGTGCTGATCTCAGGTAACATTTGATTTTAATGTATTATATTCAGGCTTTTAAGGACTACACGGCACATACTACAAACAATATGACATTTGTCGGTGTTGTTATTCCTATTAATGATTATAAACAGCGATCAGCACCTCCAACCGGCTTGGTAAATACGATGAGGCTATTTGTGACTTGTTTCTCGATGTGTGATTATTGAACATGGTAATAGGTGTCTTACTCACTTGAGTTGTGTAGTGCTCGGGTGGGCAGGTTAAGGGCGCTGCATTTGATTTGTCTTAAGAACCTTTCCCCACCTTTTTTTTTGAAAGACTTTCCTTCGCTTTGAAAAGCAACATTTTTCATTTTTATCAGAATTCCAGACAATCCAAATGTCAACTCCTTTCTATCACCCGAGTCTAACGACATTTTTATGAGTATCTGGTCAATTTAGACTTACTAAGATCTGTGTCTGCGCTGTGACACAAGCAGTGCAGTTTAATCCGCTGGGCGAGAGCACGTGCGCGGTGTCGAATATGAATAAGAGTTTAATATTGTGTTGAACTGCCTTGAACATGCTGTAACTTGTGATGTGAAGCCGCATAACCGGCCTTGTCCGTTTCCCAAAATACCGCCTTAAACTTTTACAGCTCACTGTCAAATATTGCGCTCGACAAAAAAAAAAAAAAAGAGGGCACAGTGATGTGCGTTTGCTGTCACAACTGTGAGAAACATATTATGATAGTGAGTGCTGGGAAGGCAGAGTTTCAGAAGAAGTCATGTTGTAATTTGGGCATTGAAAACGTGGCGGTGAACACACCCCGCGGGGAAAACCTGCCCGAGCACCTGGAGTCTTGCAACCATCCTTGGTATTACTTGAATCTACAGATGTGTGAGGAGAAATTTGCATTACAATGTTTCTTACTTTTTGGGGGGATTTCTTCACATTTTTTTTAATGACCTTTTGTAAATTTTATCTACAGCTTTGAAACTTCTGGTATATACTGTTCTGAATAAATCATTTTAAGAGTGATTTTAAAGTGAGTCTCTTGTGTAATTCTTTGTAAGTAGTGAAAATTGGTAGAAATTAATAGACAATTCAAGAGGAAACCTAAAATTGATAGTCATAGTATTTCTTTAAATAAGGGATCCATCCTAAAAAGATGGCACACTGACAGCTTTGACAGGAAACAAATGGGAGAAAGGGGTGAGTTCAGTAAGCAACGCATCTTCTGTCTGAAAAGGATCAGGGTTTCATGGCATAGGGATAAAAAGTTACTGGTAAATGTTGTCTAAAGAAATCAACTCAAACCTTTACATCTCTCAGTACATAGTCTGCTGAACCCCCAAAACATCCATCCACCTACTGCGCTTTCTATGAAACTTGGCCTATGATCCCTGTATAAACTCACCTGTTGCAGATTACGCCTTGGAAATAAGGGGAAATATTGTGAAAAGTTTGCAAAAAACCACAGGTCCCACATGTGAATATGAGTTAATGTCATTTGCACAGTTTTTTATGTTGATCTATGTCCATCATCCTTTACTGCAAAGCACTTTGTCCCATATTTCTTGTACGAAAGGTGCTACACAATAACGTTTGTCATTATTATTTCCTTGGGTCTCTTAAACCACCAAACCGTTACATCTCTCAGTACACAGAGTCTGCTGAACCCCCAAAACATCCATCCACCTACTGCGCTTTCTATGAAACTTGGCCTATGACCTATTGCAGATTAAGCCTTGGAAATAAGTGGAAAGATTGTGGACAGTTTTCTAAAAAATCCCTAGGGATAATGCGTGGGAGCCCCGGTAGAGGCATTATGGCAGGACAGTGTGCTTTATTTTCAATGTTATTTGCACAGTTTTCTATGTTGATCTATGTCCATCACCCTTTACTGCAAAGCACTTTGTCCCACATCTCTTGTACGAAAGGTGCTACACAATAAAGTTTGTCATTATTATTTTCTTGGGACGTCTCTTAAACCACCAGTGCTGCATCCCGACAGTATTTGCGCCCACAGTCCAAAGCTGACAGTTTGTCCATGTCCGCGTCGCTCAGCGTGAAGTCAAAAATCCTGCCGTTGTCCTTTATTCGCTCTGGATTTGACGACTTTGGGATCACTGGGACGCCCTGCTGCACAGCCCAGCGCAAGAGGACCTGACGGGAAACCAAGAAGGAAATCGTTATAGGCTGGCCCAAAACAAATCCAGATGTTTGTGTTTACCTGTCCAGGGGTGCGTTCGCAGTTCTTTGCCACCTCCAAGACCACGGGGTCAGTGATCAGATTTCCTTTCCCCAAGGAGGAGTACGCCTGGAAACACACTCCATACTCCTTGCACACTTTCCTCAGCTCAGTCTGGATATACTTGGGGTGGAATTCTACCTGGGGAAATATATATAACAAATATATAACAGATGTACATAATGATATTAACCGTTCTCCTTTCCCTCCAACGTATTCTACCTGCAGCACTGCAGGAGGGACTTTGCAGCTCTGCATCAGTTCTCTCATGTGTGCTGGTGTGTAGTTTGACACTCCAATGGCCTTCAGCTTCCCCTGAGCATGCAGCTCCTCCAGCGTGGCCCAACTCTGAGCTCGGTTGTCTGGAATCAAATATTAATTAGGAGCTCATCATCCGCGTTACTCAAGTACAACCAAGTTGCAGAAGGAGGAAGGTGAGAAGACAGCATCTAATCTCGAAGTAAAATTATTTATCAAACATTTGTTTGAAAAATGTTGCTCCAAATATGAATATGCACCATTTTTATGTTTCCAGTAATTCACAACATTTTACCTGAGTTGCGTTGGTCAGACACATCCAGGCCATCTGTGCCAGGCCAGTGGATCAGGTAGAGGTCAATGTAACCCAGGTCCAGCTGAGACAGGCTGCACAGGGCTCCTTCCATGGCTTTCTCACCCTGATCCTTGGAGTCCAGCTTACTGCACGGACATAGAGGCCTTTTTATTACTTTACCAGAGCTTTAGTTCCTCCATACGAGTTCTTCATTTTGCTGCTGAAATGCTCTTTAGGAAGGACTACGAGCATATGCACATCACCTGGTTATGAATACATCCTCTCTGGTTAAGCCATGTTTGGGCAGGAGCTCCCTCAAGGCTCGGCCAAAGGCGGCTTCATTCTGGTACATGGCGGCACTGTCAAAGGCCCGATAACCAGCGAGCAGCGCCGCGTCCACGGCCCTGTGCACGTCTTCAGGAACCACCGACTTGTAGGTCCCTAAACCCAGGATGGGCATACGAACCCCCGTGTTCAGGAGGACGGATGGGATGCTGGAGGCGAGGGAAGACATCTGAATTCGTTGTTTGGCCCAGCGGACACTGCAGAAGAGTGGAGGGAAGAATAAAGCACATTAATACGATACAAATAAACTAAGAAAGAAATACAATTTAATAATATTCATTGATTAAAAATGCAAAGCAAAAGCAACAACTTTGAATGGGTCCTAAGAAGTGATATAAAAGGTGGCCACTGCTTCTGGGAGCCTTATCTCCTCAGACATTATTTTGTTAAAAAAAAAACAGGGGTCCAGATAGCAAAGGCACGGCCCGCTTTTATATTGAGTCTAGACTTTGGAACGGCGACAAGGGGCCTCACCACAGGGTCTGAGGACAGGTGTTACACTTTAACAGGTAACCGTGTTAACTGGGGACTTTCAGCAAAGGTTTTGTGCAAACATGTGTCACATAGAAGAATTCTTTATCACAGTAAAATATATATTACACACACACACACACACACACACACACACACAAATAGATACATACATATTTGCATGTACGTTTGTGTGAAGAAATGTAATATGTTGGAATCGAACATAATTGCGTGGTAACGTTACGACGGTCGAATATTCGCAGCAGTCGCTCTATGTTACGGTCGTAAAAATCAAGCTACTCTGCAACGTATGAACCATATATTTCTTAGCCCATTAGAAATGATATTGAACACCTTCAACAATAAAGGCATTCACGAGGACAGCCACGTATTCTCTTTCTGTTTTCAACAGCTGCCGTAACTAAGACAACAGACGCCTTCGGCTCAAGGTCGCAAATTAACAGGGTCGCCTTTTAAACCGTAACACCGCTGATTCCTTTATTTCGGGGCCAGACCCAAAGCGTCCTTTAAAAGTGAAAGGTACATTCTTAAATTCATTTCTAAAACGACCAGGAGGCCACCGTTACATTTAACCAACAGTGCTGCTCAAGCCGAATTGAACCTTGCAAAGCTATTGTGTTAGCATTCTGATGTCAACGTTGCTAGAATGTTATTTTGTATTTGCATCTCACCTTGTGTGCACTTTCGGCTCAAGTGCTTTGATGAAGAGGCGCGTAAACTGAGTGAGAATACACTGTGAATGAATGAAAATGTGACCGTGCTCCTAAGACTACAAGATAAACGGGGGGTGTTTACGACTAGACGTCCCCTTTCCGGTAACACGTGGTAAACTTAGTGTCATGTGACAGCAACAGCTGCGAGTCGGAGACAGAGGGTTATTTCCGACAATTTTAAACATGTAAATGCTAATTTTCTCAACTGTTATGAGGTCGGGAATTTGTCCTGAATAGGTCAATATAATAGGTATATAAATTAATCTATTTTGAGATTCTGTTGCCCAAACCTTAAGTAAGCCATGTTTCTGCAGGCCTTTCCCCCCCTTTCAATGAACTCCATCCAGCAAAGCTCTTAGGTAAGGTTAAGATATATTTTCTCTACAGCTGTAAAACATCTACCATGACATCCTCAATAATTGATAAGAGGGATTTTAAAGTCTTTTAATTGTGTGATTCTTTTTTAACCCTCCGGTAAAAAGGACACTTTATTTTATAATCTCCAACACGTTGTAATACAGTGACAACTCAAATGGGAACAACTGAAACACGAAAGGCACATTATTGTTCTTAAGAGTAAAGAACAGCGTAGTCTGGAAGTAGTCTTGAAATGTTGGCACAATAAATACTTAGGTTAGTATAAATCTACTGTCTGGAAAGGGTCGGGGTTTTATGGCAAATGGGTCACAACAAACAGGAAAATCTACTTGTTAATGTTTTTTAAAATAATACTTGATATCGTATATGTGTTATACATCAATCTAAATCTATCTAAATCAATGCATTCTCCCACTGTATTTAAGGAACTGAGTACCGGTACAACTCTAGTTTCCCAATCATTCTGCTGATGATTCCCCACCACTGCATTACTGGCAGCGGAGCTTAAGAACCGCACCATTTAAGAAGCATCCTGGAAGGCAACATGTGTTCAAATTAACGTCTATCAAGCAACTTGTGATGAATCCCAGCAATACTTTTCCCCACAGTCCAAAGCTGACAGCTTGACCATGTCCGTGTCACTCAGCGTGAAGTCAAAAATCCTGCCGTTGTCCTTTATTCGCTCTGGATTTGACGACTTTGGAAGCACTGGGACGTCCTGCTGCACAGCCCAGCGCAAGAGAACCTAAAGGGGAACAAAAGACTGTTGTTAAGGTGCTTTGAACACAAATAAGGTCATTGTAGGCTGGCTCATGTGTTGGGGGTTTACCTGTCCAGGGGTGCGTTCACAGTTCTTTGCGATCTCTAAGACCACGGGGTCAGTTATCAGCTCTCCTTTTCCTAAGGAGGAGTACGCCTGGAAACACACTCCATACTCCTCGCACACTTTCCTCAGCTCTGTCTGGAGTAGCTTGGGGTGAAACTCTACCTGAGGAAACAACACAAAACACCGTCTGCATTGGCTCTTTCAAAAACAAAGGTCCTAAAACATTTTATTTAGCTTGTGTTTTCAATGATGTATTATGATATTAACCGTTCTCCTTTCCCTCCAACGTATTCTACCTGCAGCACTGCAGGAGGGACTTTGCAGCTCTGCATCAGTTCTCTCATGTGTGCTGGTGTGTAGTTTGACACTCCAATGGCCTTCAGCTTCCCCTGAGCATGCAGCTCCTCCAGCGTGGCCCAACTCTGAGCTCGGTTCCCTGGAATTAGATGTTAAACAGGAGCTCATCATCAGCGTTACTCAAGTACAACCAAGTTGCAGAAGGGGGAAGGTGAGAAGACCGCTCAAATTGTGTATTTAAGTGGAGCATGTCTTCATAAAACATTTGTGATACTCTTAGCCAAAGCAAATAGATGCTCTAAATAATTTAACATTATTTGTTTACATAATTGTATATAAAAAAATGTTCCAGTGACATTTTGCTACCTAAAGGAAGACATTGCCTGTTTACCTGGGTTGCGTTTGTCAGCCACATCCAGACCCTGCGTGCCAGGCCAGTGGATCAGGTAGAGGTCAATGTAACCCAAGTCCAGCTGAGACAGGCTGCACAGGGCTCCTTCCATGGCTTTCTCGCCCTGATCCTTTGGGCCCAGCTTACTGTGGAGGCAAAAAGAGAGCGGGCTGTTCAGAATTTTGGACCTCACCTTTTTAGGCACAAACTTGACTGAGCTTCACTGCCTCTGCATGGTCACTGAGTAGGAAATAATGTGTGTTACACATACAAGGACTTGGGCTGGGTGATTGTTGCGTGACAATAAATATACTAATCATAGTAATGAACATGTGTGTGATACCGAAGCCAGAGGCATGCCTTTTTCAGTTTAGCCCTTGTCACAACCCCTATACACCACCTGGTTATAAACACATCCTCTCTGGTTAAGCCATATTTGGGCAAGAGCTCCTTCAAGGCTCGGCTCAGGTCAGCTTCATTCCGGTAGACGGCTGCGGTGTCAAAGGACCGATAACCAGCAACCAGCGCTGCGTCCACAGCCTGGTACACCTCTTCACAACCCACCAACTTGTAGGTCCCTAAACCCAGGATGGGCATCTGAACCCCTGTGTTTAGGAGGACAGGGTGTGTAGAGGACATCTGATCTGAGAAGCACCGCCCAACACTCCTAAAGACTGAGAGAAAGTGAACTGAGAAATGAATGAGAGATTATTTTCGTTAGAAGGGCATAGCATCATGATGTGGCAAATTCATTCTGGTGTCAGTAGATGTTAGAACACAATGAAGACATAGAGACCTCACAAAGTGTGTGACAGCGAGTAGGCTGCACACGTTGTGTGATGTCACATTTGATAACTTATAATGCCATGTTGGGGAGTAGGAACTCCTTAATGAAATATAATGGAATGAAATGAATAATCATATTTTTATCTCACCTTTTGGGCCTTCTTGGCTGAGGGAGCAATACAAAAACAAGTGATGACGTGTTGCGTATTCACAAAGAATTAATCAAGAAAGTCTCGAGTTTGAAAAGGTAAAAAACATCTAACCTCGCTCTCTCGCTGAATATTTACTACTCCTATTTCCGGCAATACCTGGTCAGCTGACAGTCATGTGATATTTTGAGCGGGTTTCTCCGTCACCATAGCGACACCTGCTCTGACGCCGTTGATTGGAAGAAGATCCAGCTAATCATTGAAGAAGAAGCAACTGAAAGGCGGGAAGCGGCCCGTGTCTAGCCAATCACAGGGCGAGGCGTGAGTTTGATTGACGGTCTCGGAGTTAACCATTAATGTCCCGTTGTAGGCTGAAGTTAGCTGGCTGGATACCCACCAAATCCCTGCTCGCCATTGAACCTTGATATTACGGTAATTTTAAGAGTTCGGCAGAAAATTTTTGAGTGTTAGTTAACTAGGTAAACTTTTTTGCTTTTTGGCGATTCCTTCACATTTTTCAATGACCTTTTCTAAATTGTATCGACAGCTTTGAAACCTCTGGTATACTGTCTTGAATAAATCATTTTAAGAGTGATTTTAAAATGAAATAAAATAAAATTTAATTATTTGGGAATGATCAGTAAGTATTGCAAATTGGTAGAAATGAATGGACAATTCAAGAGGAAACCGAAAATTGATAGTCATAGTATTTCTTTAAATAAGGGATCCATCTTAATAAGATGGTACACTGACAGCTTTGACAGGAAACAAATGGAGATGGAAGAGAGACTTCAGTAAGCAACGCATCTACTGTCTGAAAAGGATCATGGTTTCATGGCATAGGGATAAAAACTAAGTTACTGGTAAATGTTGTCTAAAGAAATCTACTCAAACCTTTACATTTCTCAGTACACAGAGTCTGCTGAACCCCCAAAACATCCATCCACCTAAGATTGTGAATAGTTTTCAAAAAAATCACTAGGAATAATGCATGGGAGCCCCGGTAGAGGCATTATGGCAGGACAGTGTGCTTTATTTTCAATGTTATTTGCACAGTTTTCTATGTTGATCTATGTCCATCTCCCTTTACTGCAAAGCACTTTGTCCCACATCTCTTGTACGAAAGCTGCTACACAATTAAGTTTGTCATTATTTCCTTGCGACGTCTCCAGTGCTGTAGTGGTAAAATTAGAGGTGGGTAAACTCAGAATTTTGTGATCATACAGACCTCGTCGCGATGCAACGCGATGCGAAGCAACGCAATACAAAGCGCTGCGACTCTGTAAGGCTGTCCTGGCTATATTGCATTATGTTTTCTGTCCAGATATGTGGGTGGCTACTGCTCTCTATTTCGCCTCTCACTGTGTCTTCAGTCTCAGATTCTACTTCCTCTGTATCTCCCTCTACTTCAGATTCTCCACTCTCCATCTCTCCTGCCCCTGTTTCTTCTCTTACTACCTGTTTCTTCATCTCCTCCCTCTATTTCATCTTTCTCTGTCTCCCCTTTCTCTGTTTCTTCATTCTCTGTTGGTCTTCTTTCATTTCCTCCCCTTTCCTCTTCTCCACTCTTTGGTTCTCCACTGTCATGATTTTGTTCTCTCATCAGCTGTTCTCCTCTCTCTATTCGACCTGGTGTTTCTCCTCTCCCTGTGCTCTCTGCATCATTGCCTGTCCTATCACTGCCTGAAAAAATATGTTGAATTTAAGAGTTGTGGGGCTGAGAACACCAGTTAAGCAGCCTGTCAATTACACTGACAACATAAGTTAAAGGAACACTCATGTACTACCTATGTCATCATAAATAGCCTATACAGCATGTTTTTTTCACAGTGAGAACTGACTTGTTTTCAAATAATCTATGTTTACAGTGTATTTCACTTACAGGCTACTCTACAACTTTCATGACTTCAAATAATTGATTAAGCATATAGGCCTATTCAGTGAAGCAACAGCTTTGCTCCCCGCTCACGTTTTCAATGCGAGAGCAGGACATGATGACATATATTATATTATATATATATATTTGACTTTGACCGTGAAATTTGAAGATTCTATAGCTAAACTAAAACATTTCACTTAGCATTTCCCCATAGCTATGTCTAACTGGTTTTCACATAATCTGTTGACAATTTTTCAATGAATTAGCCTAATCTGCAGCAATATGAGTGAGGATAATTACTCATTTTATTAGGCCTATTTAGATGGGACCGGGAAGGCTGGCTGTGTACCGGCATCATCGTATTTGAAAGCACGTTACTGATAGCGTTTGTCCCTGTCTCAATGCGATGTTGTGCAAACCAAAACAACGTTTAAAAACGTGAATTGATCTTCTTTAGTCTTACTTTGTACTTGAGGCCTTTTGCAGGCATCTGTGGGAGTGGGAGCACTCGATGGTCTCTACAAATATCGCCTGATATCCATTGCTAATTACCGGCGGTAATCCATTCTGTAGTATCTTTAATACCTCCGGTTCAAATGTCTGTCATGTTGTGATGAGGTCATTAAGGTGCGCGTTTATGCGTAGAAGTAAATATGCACTAATAAAGATGGACGCATACAGCGCCGACTAAAAGAAACTCACTGGTACGTGTTGTACTTAGACAATTAAATGTCAGTGCACGCACACGAATATTACACATTCCGAACAGGTCGGCAGGCAGGCTGATCCACAACGTGTATGTGTTTACACACCTCCTGGATCCTGATTGGTCGCTGCTGCAGCCGCAAGGCACTGATTGGATGCTCACAGACTGAATTACAGTGCAGGTGAAAAGGATTCAGACTACGGCGTTTATATGTTCAACAATAGGAAACATAGTCTTAGCTGTTTTAAAATTACACCAAGTTTATTTCGAATTATTCCAACGGAAGAATACAAGGCACAGGGAACTTTGAGGTGCGTAAACGCAGCTTAGAGGTGCGTAAACGCTATTTCCAAAATTCCAGAGGTGCGTAAACGGCGTTTACGTGCGTTTACCCTCCACTACAGCCCTGGACGTCTCTCAAACCACCAGTGCTGCATCCAGACAGTATTTACGCCCACAGTCCAAAGCTGACAGTTTGTCCATGTCCGCGTCGCTCAGCGTGAAGTCAAAAATCCTGCCGTTGTCCTTTATTCGCTCTGGATTTGACGACTTTGGGATCACTGGGACGCCCTGCTGCACAGCCCAGCGCAAGAGGACCTGACGGGGAACCAAGAAGGAAATTGTTATAGGCTGGCCCAAAACAAATCCAGATGTTTGTGTTTACCTGTCCAGGGGTGCGTTCGCAGTTCTTTGCCACCTCCAAGACCACGGGGTCAGTGATCAGATTTCCTTTCCCCAAGGAGGAGTACGCCTGGAAACACACTCCATACTCCTCGCACACTTTCCTCACCTCCGTCTGGATATGCTTGGGGTGAAACTCATCCTAAAGGAAAAATATATAACAGATTTACATAATGATATTAACCGTTCTCCTTTCCCTCCAACGTATTCTACCTGCAGCACTGCAGGAGGGACTTTGCAGCTCTGCATCAGTTCTCTCATGTGTGCTGGTGTGTAGTTTGACACTCCAATGGCCTTCAGCTTTCCCTGAGCATGCAGCTCCTCCAGCGTGGCCCAACTCTGAGCTCGGTTGTCTGGAATCAAATATTAATTTCTAAGAAAATGGAACAATTATTCATCAAACATTTGTTTGAAAAATGTTTCTCAAAAATATGATATTCATGCGTTGCATGTGCACCATTTTTATGTTTCCAGTAATTCACAACATTTTACCTGAGTTGCGTCAGTCAGACACATCCAGGCCATCTGTGCCAGGCCAGTGGATCAGGTAGAGGTCAATGTAACCCAGGTCCAGCTGAGACAGGCTGCACAGGGCTCCTTCCATGGCTTTCTCGCCCTGATCCTTGGAGTCCAGCTTACTGCACGGACATAGCATTAGCATTTCATTCCACTTTATTTTATTACCTGTGCACTGTTGTCTTGTCTGTCTACTGTCGCGCACTAACCGCCAAGACAAATTCCTTGTATGTTTGACATATTTTGGCCAATAAATGTTTCCTGATTCCTGATTCCTGATAGAGGCCTTTTTATTACTTTACCAGAGCTTTAGTTCCTCCATACGAGTTCTTCATTTTGCTGCTGAAATGCTCTTTAGGAAGGACTACGAGCATATGCACATCACCTGGTTATGAATACATCCTCTCTGGTTAAGCCATGTTTGGGCAGGAGCTCCCTCAAGGCTCGGCCAAAGGCGGCTTCATTCTGGTACATGGCGGCACTGTCAAAGGCCCGATAACCAAAGAGCAGCGCCGCGTCCACGGCCTGGTACACCTCTTCACGGCCCACCAACTCGTAGGTCCCTAAACCCAGTATGGGCATCCGAACCCCTGTGTTTAGGAGGACAGAAGGGATGCTGGAGACGAGGGAAGACATCTCAATTTGTTGTTTGACCCAGCGGACACTGCAGAAGAGAAAGAGAGAGGGAAATAAAAGGGGAGTAAACATCAACGTGGTTGTTTCAGGACTGGTACTATACTGGGGGGTGTAGTTTACACAGAATTCTACTGTATTTCCATGAACCACCAGGTTTGTTAAAGAATAAGCATGGTGTTTTAATTCAGTGAGTACCAATGACCCTACAGTGTTGCATTGTTAGAATAGACTAACTTAACTGTAGTGTTAAGGTGCTGCGGCGTAGCTGTCCCGATGCGGCAGTATGTGAGAACGAATACTGTATGAATCCCTACAAAATTACAACAACAGCAATACAATAAAAACGGAAGGTTCAACAGAGAGGCCAAACAAAGCCTGACAACTAAAGCAAGAGTTAAACCCTGTTTGAAATAAAAGTACATAAGATAAACCAATAAAGCAAATTGATACAATAAAAGTAAACTAAGAAACAAATACAATTTAATAACATTCGTCGACTAAATTACTCACCAAATAAAAATAGAGCAGTAAACCGACAACTTTAAATGGGTCCTCAGAGCTGATATGAAGGTGACCACTGCTTCTAGGACCCTTATCTCCTCAGACAGTGTTCCAAAACTGAGGGGTCCTGATAGCAAAAGCACGCCCCGCTATAGTTTTTCAGTCTGTACTTTGGAACGGCAACAAGCGGCCTCACCACAGGATCTGAGGCCACGTGTTACTGTTTAACAGGTGTCCGTGTTAACTGGGAACTTTCAGCAAAACCGTCTGTTGTCGTAGTTACAACACCTGTTGGAAGTACGAAGCGAACACATAGCTATCGTTTCATTTGATATAAAGTTTGTATAAAAATATAAAAATAAACATAAACGCCTTTGGAGTCTGTTTGGTGCAAATATGTGTCAGATAGAAACACTCTGTAGCACAGTAAAATATATATACAGACATACTGTACATATATAGACACACATATACATACATACATATTATATATATATATATATATATATATATATATATATATACCCAACCTTTTTTGGCTCAAACTTGACTGAGCTGAACTGCCGCTGCGTGGTCTCTGAGTAGGAAATAATCTGATCTGTCTATTAACTCGTGTGTTACACATACAGGGACTTGGGCTAGGTGATTGTTGCGTGACGATAAATATACTAATCACAGTAATAAATATGTGTGTGATACCAAAGCCAGAGGAAAGCCTTTTTCAGTTTAGCCATTGGCACAACCCCCTCATCCTCTCTGGTTAAGCCATATTTAGGCAAGAGCTCCATCAAGGCTCGGCTCAGGTCAGCTTCTGCGGTGTCAAAGGACCGATAACCAGCAACCAGCGCTGCGTCCACAGCCTGGTACACCTCTTCACAACCCACCAACTTGTAGGTCCCTAAACCCACGATGGGCATCTGAACCCCTGTGTTTAGGAGGACAGGGTGTGTGACAGGCTACACACGTTGTATGATGTCACAGTTATATATACCATAGTAGTAGGAACGCCATAATGAAATATAATGGAATGAAATAAATAATCAAAAAATCACAAAAAAAACATTTTTATCTCACCTTTTGGGCCAAGTTGCCAGTTGCTAGTTTCAACTCCTATTTCCGGCAACACCTGGTCAGCTGACAGTCATGTGATATTTTGAGCGGGTTTCTCCGTCACCATAGTGACACCTGCTTTGACGCCGTTGATTGGAAGAAGATCCAGCTAATCATTGAAGGAGAAGCAACTGAAAGGCGGGAAGCGGCGAGTGTCCAGCCAATCGCAGGGCGAGGCATGAGGTTGATTGACGGTTACGGAGTTAACCGTTAATGTCCCGTTGTAGGCTCGTAAGTTAGCTCGCTGGATACCCACCAAATCCATGCTCGCCATTGAACCTTGATATTACGGTAATTTTAGAGCGCGACAGAGCATTTCTGAGCTTTACACTGATTAAGACCGTTATAGCACACTGGTGTTAGCTAACTAGGTAAACAAAGTCAACATTTGTAGTAATTGTTATGTGTATTCTGTGTTTTGGTTGCCCTTCATTAATGAATATATTGTGTTTTATTGTGTTGCCCAAACAATATGAGGTCAGTCATGCCCCTGCGGCCCTTCTCCTTTCCTTTGCCTGAAACTCGATTCTTCAAAGCTGATAGTTTGATCTACAAGTTCAAGATCAGCGGAGGCAGCAGCTTCAGGCAAGACCTTGTTCTTAACATCCTCACATTATTATTTTTATACTTAATGTCTGTGTATTCCTTTGGTGAGAGCCAGAATAATAGTACCAGAGCAAGAACTAGACCGCTGACAAATCCCCAAAACAGCAATTAACTGATTAAGTAATGGAAGTATCTGAGTTCTTACACTAAGGCAGCTCTAGTTGCACATTAGTAATTTGTCCCCAAACTGAGATGAGCATTAAGCGCATCACTGGAAATTAGTTTAGAACCAGAAATGAAATAATTCAGTTTTGGCCGAGCTCAAGTGCAATTACTTCCGGAGCTAAAATAGCTTGATAAAATGCTTTTGAGACCTAAGCCTTAACAATTCGCTGGATTAGAACAACCACAGACCTGAGTAGTTTTCTTCCTGACAGCAGAGCAAAACAACACAAGCCCAGAATCCATAAATCACACATTTACCTATTGATCAATGTTAAACCCACTCCTGGCAACTGCCGTGTTTCGCTCTTCCTTTTCTCCTCAAGATTAAATTCTGCAGTAGTATTGCACAAAGTGCTTTAATCTTTAAAGCTGGCGATGACTGCGCTCGAGGCGAGAGAGAAAGCATTGATGTTTTTGCTCCACTTCTGTTACACCCTTTGCCTTTATTCATGGCTAACATTGAATAATAAGACACCTAACCGATCTAGGAATTTGTTAAAGCCCAAGGAGACGATTTTCTTTTAAATTATTATAGTTTTGACACTCAAGGATTTGTGCACAACAGTCAGAGCCTTAATGCGTGTGCTGCATCAGCAAAATGCATTCCCTGATGCATGAAAGGCCTTATACGGTTATCAGCTTTAAAGTTACAGAAACTGGAACTGTTAAGATTGTATAACACAATATACACTGTGTGTTGATAAGCTACTGTAATGTATGCATCGTGTGTTTCATCAGAGGAGAGGAGGGTGTGGGAGAAAACCTCTATGAGGAACTGGAGGTAATTATGAATACTGTTGCTTCGTGTGCTTAGTCGGCATTCACAATCATTGCATTGAACTTTTTCTCTCACTTTCTCTCCTCGGGTTGTCAGGAAATCATCAGGACCATTCTTGGCAACCTGGACAGCCTCCAACCTTTCTCTAGTGCCCACTTCAATGTCTTCCCTTGTATCCTCGAACACAGCTGCTGATCCTCCACTTGCGCCCCCATTAAGATGCTCGTTCACTAGCAGTTTACTGTATTTTCTGAACTGCGCCGACCAGATAAGAAGCCGTGGGAGGGAGCGTCGAAGGTGACGTGCGGTGAGGGGAGGCTGCGAGCTTACCCGTTTAGTCTTGTCCTCTACCTGGAGAAAAACACACAGAATGGTAAGGATGGACGCATGTGGGCGAACAGCTTACAGCTTCCTCTGGTGTATTGGCACAACACATTCGCAGGACATTACATGCGATCATTACAAATGCTCGGAGCTTTATTGGCTGCATGGCTATAGAGGTACCGGACGTGCTTAAGCACAAGGACATGTTAATAAATAGCACCAAAATCGAACAGGCACAAATCCAGGAAGGGGTCCACAAAGGTTTAGCCTTCACCTCATATCTGGGGCCGGTGTCCGTAGACAAGAATGAGCTCATCCTGGTTAGCTGAGCGTCTACATGCAGATTTTCAATTTGTTGTTTGCACAAAAACAGATGACCAAGATGCTAATCACTCATGCCAATCTCTCAAATGTCTTGCAGAGGGAGCGAAGCCAGGGGCAGAGAATTTAAGCCCAGTGAGTGTGAATTCAAGTATTTTAATAAAAATCTAGTTTTATATGACATGTTAATAAGAGCCCAGACATTACATTGTAGTTAAATCGACACTGTCACAGTAAGAGCTGAACATCACCAAACCTCTCTGAGGAACAGGCCTGCTAAATTGGATTGTTTTAAATGACATTATCTAGAGTCCGACCCCAGTCACTCATCGTGACCAGCGCACCACTGCTTGTTTCCCAGCAGAAAGATGTCGTGAAGCCTTTCCTCTCCGCGTCCGAGCCCCCGGCAAAGCGCCGTAGGAGGGATTCACCACTAGAGGAGGCCATTCTAAAGGAGTTACACGGGGACATGGAGGCTCAGAGCAGCGTCTCTGTGCTCGGGTGAGTGCTCTCTTTACCACTGTACAGCTTATCTGGAACATTTTTAACACTTTTAACCTTTCAAGGAACCACAAGTAAATGTTGGGAAGATCTGTGGGAATAAAGGCGCGTAGTGACTAGAAACCTACGCTGTGGCCACAAAAAACGGTCACATTTGAATTTGCGCTATAGTTTTTTGAACGTTTTGGATTTGAATGAGTGTGCGACAATACAATGCATTTATGAAATGAATTCACTGACATATTCATCCTGACTTCTGCCCTGTTTGCGCTGACACACACACACACACTCCAGTGATTCTTGCAGTTACGAAACAGACAGGAGGCTGACAGGCGCCACCTCAATCTCACTGACTGTCAAATCAGTGGGGCGGAAATTATGATTTAAAATGCTCACACACCAACTAATGTAAACAGAATTGTGTCATCGTTTTGAAGTAGAGGATCACGCTCTCCGATGCACAAACTGTGTAAACATCCTGCAAGCACTGGGGCCTCGAGCATCAGTCCACAGGAAATCAACTTCCATTAAATCATTCTCATTGAATTATTGAATTATATTCAGCACATTGGCCATAACACTTACATGTCCACAGAAAGGTGCAAAACGAGTAGAGGACACATTTCAGTTGTCAAAGATTTCCGAAATGCTGCTTCATCACTGACGGCATTCATTGGTGTGTGTGTGTGTCTCTTTATGATGCCTGTAGTGACAGGTGGTTTGTTTTTGTGTTAAACCAGCTTGAAATGGGAACAGAAAAGAGAAAATATTCTCAATAGGTTGATGAGCACTCACACAGGGGTCATCTAACGGACATTGTAGATTCGGGCTGCAAAACCCAACCAACATGTAATTGACAGTCATTGTTCTGATAATGTAAGAATAAACTAGGTTGTGTCCAACTTTTAGCAGGCTTTCTCTGCACTGCCCACGTGCACAGAAACATGTCGCAGAGGATCCAGGACATGCTGACAAGGTGATTTATTACTTACTTCAGTCTTTTACCCATCACATTTAGCTGCTCAAGTGATTTGTCACAAATGAATAAGAAAGTAATTTCATCCCACAGTTTAGAAAGAAGTGATTCCAACTATTCTTCCAACTTCAGTCCTATAATACCCTTTCGTTTCCTATCTACCGCCTATATAAACACACTCACTGGTAGCATCTCTGTCTGTGCCGCCGCCCCAGGCTAACGTTAGCGCAGACAGGTAGGATAACAAGTGCGATTAAGGTTATTAATAAAATTACATCAGCCACAGTGTACGTGACTTAGTTGTTTTCTGAGAAATGAAGTGCCAATACAGGTCTACGAGCTTTTAAAACGATTGAGTGCGAAAAAGGAATGATTACCAAGTTCTGATTGCACAAACATATTCTAGAGAAAAGACCAAGACACATAGTGGGTTATTAACTGTGCATTTTGATATATCCATTCCCTTCAACTGAACCTTTAAATCTGAGGCAAATTAAAACATTTACAAGCCAGCGAACAAACTTAACATTATCACAAATCCGTTGAGTTACGTTTTTAAATGATTTTGTTAATTCATATGAATGTAACATAACAACTTGCAAATGAGTCTTAGTTTATCGTTTGGATGACGACATACATAATAATCAGGCTAACTCCCTGCCTCATAATAATACAGAAAAGAAGTATCCCACGGAAAGCGTAGATAGTTAACTTAGGGAATGCTAATGTTAGCGGCTTAAATTACAGCAGATGAACATCGTTTTCCCCAATACTCAAGTGCTCAAGACACTCTTTTTATATGGATTATTGCTCTTACTACAGCCCCATGCAAACCACGTCAACACATGGATAAATCCTCAGTAGTTACACTTGCGAAGCCGTAATTGATCACTATTCAGTGAGAGGTGGCAGCGAATGTCCATCCGAGATCCAGTTCTGTGAAAAACACAAATCCTTTTAATTCATTCTAACCTTCTACCACAGAAGGCTTTCACGGCGTTTGATGAACACCGGCAGAAACCCGGTGAGAACACAATCAGAGGAAGAAGGCCTCCAGATGAAGTGCCCTCTGGGTCAATGCAGCACATGGGGGGCGAGGAGCTCGACCAGGAGCTCGACCAGGACCTCGACCAGGAGCTCGACCAGGACCTCGACCAGGACCTCGACCAGGACCTCGACCAGGAGCCTGTGAGGCCGGGGATGTTGAGTCGACTGGTCAGGTCGGTATCCCGTCACATTAAGCCTGAGCCGCTATCATGCTACAAGCAAAAGCTAATAGATTTACCCCGCAGCAGGTCATATCTGTTGATATCGTTGGACGGTCGCTGTTGGTTTGATTTTTGCACCCGCGGGAGAACCGGGCACTAAATGGTACTGTTCATCTGAAAGAATAAAGTTGACAAAGATTCAAGTGGATTGGGGAAATCCAGCTATTAAAAGCACGGAAATTACAATATCCCTGTGAAATGTCTGTTGAGACAAGCCGAAACGCCGGAGGCGCATAAAAGACTGACAAGAGTGTTTCCGCACTGACAGGCACGCCAAGCAATCTTACAAATGTGGTCTCTTTATGGTAATAATGATATGCAGCAGCAGGCTGATGGCATGAGCCCACAGTTGCATTAATCACAAGGGTAATTTTGGTTTGAATACTGACTCTTTCTTTCTCCCTCTCTCCTTTTCTCTTTGCAGAGGTATCTTCCCCTTCTCCTTGCTCTTCAGAGAACCCTGAGGCCGGTGGTAGAGGGACTGCAGATGTTACTGGTCGCAGCAGTGGAAACGCACCGGGGTTTGTTCGGATAAAGTTCTGCAACAAATAAGTTTGTTTGCGTCGATACTAATGTTTTTTCTTCTCCTTCATCCTTTGTTGATCATCTCTTATACTTGTGTCATTATTTATTTATTCATTTTTTATTCATTTTTTGGGCTGAGATTTCATCTGTTTATTCACTTATCTCTGGAAGTTCTGTTTTACATCAGCTTTTTGTTGTAGCTCTTTATTGATACCATAAGCAATAAATACAGTTAACTCTTTGTTTCCATTGGTTGTTGTTTGTGATTTTATGTTTCTGTTCATTCATGGGTGTAGATGTATGGAGACCTTGCTATTAGCTGCTATGAATGACTTCTCTTCTTTTGTGTATAGTTCTCTTCTTACCACTAAATCAGTGACCTCACAGTGGAAATGATTTCTTCTTGATCTACTTTCATGAGCGTTTTCTCCCCCTATTTTCTTGACTTTCCGTCTTAAACTCTGCTACATTTAACTTTACTTTCTTTTGATTTATTCGTCAGTGAGTATCACCTTGTGGAAACTCCACTTTCCTCCTGTCAATCTTAAATAGAAAAGTGTTCTATCTTTGTGTGTGTGTGTGTGTGTGTGTTCCGGCGTGCACGTGTCCATGCGTGTGTTTATATGTGGGGGTAAATGGGTCAACTGGACAGAAACATTGTCTTAGAAACAGGAAAACTTTGCCTAATCCTCTCCTTACATTGTCATAGAGCCCAAATAACACACACACATCATCTTAAACTCACATCTACTTACGCACTTTGACCACACACACAATATCCTGTCAGACATAATCATGTGCACACATGGAGCACTTGAAATAACAGACACACACACACACACACATACATCATGTACTTTCATTCACACACATACACACACACACACACACACAGATTAAAATAACAGGGCAGAAGTGGAAGCGGACACATTAATGATATTATAGTTATTCAAGACGCCACGGTTTCCACGGCAGCCGAGGGCGACGGGCACAGAGCGATACAAACATCGGTCACCCCACTGAGTCACACTCGAGCAGTGTGTGTGTGTGTCTGTCTGTGTGTGTGTGTGTGTGTGTCCAAGTTGACTACAGGAGGGTCTCCTGTTCGTGTAACAAACTTCATTCCTCATCTCATGCTCTCCTGATGAGGTGCTGTCTGCCAATCAGATGTATAGTGTCTCTCTCTCTCTCTCTCTCTCTCTCTCTCTCTCTCTCTCTGGTTGGCATGGAATCAGAAGAAACAGACTGCAACTTACAGTCAACACACTAATAGTTTTGTGTGTAGGTGAGGGGGTTTAGGTGATGATGTCACACGTTCCGCTTTCCATTGACATAACTAGATTGCGAGTGTTTGGGGTAGAGGGGCCATAAGATGATGATTGTGTTTTCCTTAGAAGGTGTGTTTGTGTGAGTGTGTGAGAGTGAGAATGGGAAAGTCGCGGCATCTCTCCCGAATCAGTAATCAAATGAGCACTGCAACCTGCTTTTTTCTATAATGGTATTAAGAGATTGAAATATTTTATTCTCCAAATTCAAATGTGTCATGAAACATCCGTCCGGCTTCTAACAAGCAGCTTAAAGTCATTTCGAAATGGTTTTTAATGCTTTTTTGGCAATAATAGTGCAGGATGGTACAGGAATACCATGTGAATTTAGGTTCTGGCTAAACCGGCAAAATAATTAAATGGGAGAAATGTATTGTATGTTATTTTACTGGGGTTTGTCTGTAATTGTCTTTTAAGTCTTGAGTTTCTTTTTGGGGTTGGTTTTCTTAAAACAATATTGAAATATTTTTCTGGCACAGCAAATCCATTTAAATTAAGTTGATTTCTACTGCGGTGACATACCTTATTCTCATTATTCTCACTCATTTCTAGAAATAAAGTGTATTTTTTCCTTTTCTTTTTTATCACTTTGAAGAATATTAGATTTAAGGACTATACTTTTCTGTTGGAGTGGAGAAATCATTTTAAAGGCATCAAAAGCTATCGTTTCCTGGATGAATTACTCATAACATTGCTTTTCTTGCGGGAAATGTTTGGTGGGTTCAGCTTTTGTCATTTCAGTTAATCGAAAGTCATAACGAGCATCTGCAGTTTGTATTTTCTGGAGGAATAACCTCCAGCTCTGATGACTTTCTGAAACTGATTCGGGATCAAATACAGATGTGGGGCTGCTACTGAAGCTGGAGACATTCAATAAAACAGTGATAATTACCGCTGGGATCCAATCAAAGCACAGTAACTTACAAATATATACGCATGTTCACCTCCCACTACTGTTGTGCAAGTGATTTTATAATATAATAATCTCTTTGAATTTTTGAATCCGTTATCCTGAAGGTTTATCCAGCTCGTTGAAATTCTATATTTTTATGGCCCAATATCACAACGTTATAGTGTCTCATTGGGCTCTATAGAAAAACACAAAATCTCTATGGACACAGGGCAAAACTCATTGAAAAAAACAAAAACATCAAAATAGTCTCAAATGATTCTAATTGTTGCAGTTCTACTAAGGAGGACATTTCTTCCTGTGACCCTGAAACCCACTTCCATTGTGAAAACTCATCACAAGAGAACAAAAGACATCCATTTTGTGTCTTTGGCAACCCTGTGAAAGTCGCCTGTGGTGTTTGCGACCTTTGTGACATGTCACCAAAGTGTCCAGACATGGCTGCAAATGTCCAACAAATCACGTGAGGGTCTATTAAAAGGATGACTTTACCCGCTGTAGTTGGAACAGGGCGGTTGCTAAGCTGGCTTCCTCGGTGCAAGACATCAAGCAGAGCCAGGCATTCCCCACAATATACCCATCGTGTGCCACGCACACACACACACACACACACACACACAGGGTTCACCCAAACCAGCAATATCTTCTGACCCGACCCTGTCCTTCCTCCTGCGCCCACAAATGGAAAACCCAGGCGCACTGTGTGTGTGTGTGTGAGGTCTCCCATTCAGTGTATCTATTAGTTTCCTGTATCAACTGGCAACTGAGGCCCAGAATTTGATTTTCTTCGTAGTGATTTAGCATGCGTACATGCAAGGACCCTTCTTTGTGCGGATCCCACGCGTGAGTCTTCATGCATGCGTGCTCGGTGAAAGCTTTGTGAGTTCTTACTATTGTGGCGGTGCGCTGATGGAAAACCTATCTAGTTTTCCTCTGTGTCACAGCAGCGGTCCCCCCAAAGGTTGAAAAACAGAGAGCGGGGAAGGGGAGGGTGGAGGGGACGGGGAGACGGTAACACACTGCAGGGACGAAGACGTGAAAGAGGGAAGTGAGGCTATTTTGGTCATAATTATTTAGTTGATTCCACCTTCTTTTTTTTTTCGTGCAGAGGGATCTGTTGAAAAGGAGAAAAAGAAAAAAGATTCACACACTCTCAGCGCTCTAATTATGGGTGTGTCCAGAGCTATAAGTATTACCTGTGTTACTTACATCCCTGCATGAGGCTCAGAGCAGACACACTCACTCACACACACCTGCCGGTCGCCACACGTGCCCTGCAATCCAGAAGCTGCACTCTCCGCTTCACGTCTTCAGGTAAGACTCTGCTGCTCTTTACACCTGCAACCATGAAGTTCACTGCAATAGTCTATTGGTTGGTGGAATACACCTTTAAATGCTTGTTCTTGTGGTCTTCATTTCTTATAGAGTTTAGTTTTTTTTTTTTGCAGAACTATGTTCCTGTTGGGAAAATTCACCTTTAACCCTTTTATTTGTCTTTATGTTTATTTACATTCGCATTCTGTATTTCAGACTTATACCATGTGTATTTTTATCAATAATTATATTACTCCATTTAGCAAATAATTAGTATTAATGGTCCATATTAAGCATTTTTACTTCTTGTTATGCACACATGTTACCCTGTTTGGGGGCTTTTATTTTGAAACCTTACTTTACTTTATAATAATACAATAATACAACTAAGACAATAATACATTTTTAATACATAGCACTAATGTTTTTTCTTTTTTTTAAACACCAGACAGTGACAGATGAGAAACAATTTGTCTCTTTTGGGTCCGTTGTTTTTCTTGATATTTCTAACTTACCTTACCAAGATAATGCATAAAAACCTTTGATACTACTTTGAAAAAATGTATTATTACATTCCAGTTTATGTTGAGCAGTATTGAATAACACAAAAAAGAAGTTTCAGGTTATTTGCAAATATACACTAATTACATCCTTGAAATTCTACCTCGCAATTTCAAATTATGTTCAGATCTAGTTCCTTTTGGCAGTAATCAGATTCTTCAGTTCTGAGGGTTGTTTTGAAGATAAATTGTAATTGTTTAGCGTATAGTTTGGAATACCTTTACAAGAACATTACGTGGCTTTTCTGAGGAAGATATTGCTTCAGCTATTCTGGCGGTCTCGAACACCGGCCCTCCCTCTAGCAGGGTGCAATGTATCACAACCCACTTTCCTCAAAGACAACCCAAAACCTTCAGGCGTGGAAACCCCACATAAGAGGTATTTAAATGCTGAGCATTTCCCCCTGCCCCACCAGCTGACACGGGGGCGGGGGGTTAATTGCCTCACACACACAAACACACATACGCAGTCCTGACCCGTTGGTTTGTTCGTACCAGCAGCGTTAATGGCGTCCCCGGGGGCCGTTTCACCATCACCACATAGGCTTAATTCCCAAAGCTCCAGTCACAGGGGAAGCCGAGCTGGAAAGAGCCGCCAATTTAGAGGGCAAAGGTCGGGATCCCCAAATTACCAGGAAAACATGACTTTACTGTTTACACACGTGGTGGTTGTCTGTGCGTGTGTGTGTGTGTGTGTGTGTCTGGGCGGGGGGTAATGACCACATGCATGCATGGACATTGACTCAAGAGCACGCATGCACATACGTGCACTCTATGCATTAACGCGTGTGGGGGGAGAACAAAGTCACAAAGGATCCCTCGGCTTTTTTTGTCTCTTAAAGAATTTATTTGTGACTGGTGTGGGACGATGTTGCTGTGCAGCTATGGGATGTCTGACAGAGTCGGCGTGTGGGAGATGTGTACGCATGTGTCAGTGGGTAGCTGGTCAATGAGGCGTGTTGAAATAATAAAGACTGCATTGTTTTTATTCACATTAGTTGTCACTCAAGCAAGCAGCAACCAGGCAGACGCGCAGGGTGGGGAATCCCCTCGGAAGATGAGTGAGGGGGGATCTGGGCGGCGCTTTCATTTATGGTTTGATTCAGGAGCTCAGAAAGGGGGGGGGGCACAAAAAAGTTGATAGAAACTTTTTTTGAAGCGGCCCTTCAGTTTCTTCAGCCCCGACATCATGTTCAGATGAAATATTTTAAGTAGCCTAGATCCTTTTATGACCAAACAATGCTTCCTCACAGCCTCACACTAGAAGATTTTTTTCAAATGTCTACCAAGGTTCTAATTTGTACTTTCTCACTGGAACAAAAGCAAAGATTGAAGGAAAGCCCAAAAAGAAGTCAGAGTTTAATTTTTTTTCTGCATAAAAGCTGTCAAAAAGACAGTTTTCCTCTGGTTTTTAGTCACAGCAACGTCCTAAATACTCTGTTTGGTTCCTCCAGGCTGCCATCCAGATGTTGCTGTGCATGACCTCACAATTCTGCCTGCTGGTCCTACCGGTGATGTCACTCATCCTGCTCTTCTCTCCTATTGGTCGGAGCTACGACAGCCTCACCCCAGGGTGCTACCTTCACCGTGAGGAACAGAACACGGTGTTCTTTAAATGTGTCTCTAGTGTGTTGAACAACAGCGTCTAAGACTTCCTTCTAACTTGATTATACGTCTCGAGTTTCAGCAGTTTTTTCGGCGTTGTCCTCCTTTCTTTAAGTGCAAAATCCCAAAACGCTCTCACGCGTAGAAGGCTTGATTCCGTTTCCCCTCGCTCATCCCTCCCGCCCTCTCTCCCCGCTCCAGCCTTCAACGTGACCATCCGCAGTGACCGCCGCGGCACGTGTAAAGGCACCCACCTGGTCTACGCCTGCGTGGGCTACTGCGAGTCCAGCGCCTTCCCGTCCAGGTACTCGGTGCTGGTGGCCTCCAACTTCACCCACAACATCACCTCGGCTTCCCGCTGCTGCACCATCAGCAAGGATGTCAAGGTGAGAGGAAACGTTGAGAAGGGGTCGAACTGCAGTGTTTAGGGGATGAGCATTTTTACCGGTTGTTCATGTCTTGTTTGCTCGACTTCCCGCAGGTCAAAGTCCGCCTGGACTGCCCTCGAGGTCGTCACCATGACGAAATAGAGATCCTGTCGGCGAAGGTGTGCCGCTGTGACATGTGCCGCAAGTCCCGCTACTGACCCAGCAGGAGAGCGTAATGCATGCCTAGTGTGTCCCAGGATAAGAACCCAATTCAGTTAGACGCTACAAACTCTGGTAAATAGTTGAAATACAACCCTTCTGCTGTCTATTTAGACTTGTTTTGAATGTTGAAGAAAATCCATTTATTGAACTGAAAATGTCCAAAAAAGTGTTTCCTCCATTTATGTCCATAAATGATGGAATAATCTCTGCAGATTAAGCACGTGACTCTGAAATGCTCTGCTAACATCAAGTGAAATTCATTCAGGCAGAGTGACGTCTGCTTACGTTCAGTCAGCCAGTGACTCGCAAATAAGATCAAAATGGGAAATTCACTTCACTTCACTTTGTTTGTTAAGATTCTGTGGGTGTGTTTTTGTAAAATGTGATCTAAGGGAGGTTTATTATGGCAAAATGAATGGAAGCATTACTTCGCACTGACCCAATTCAACAACGAAACAGTAAATATACAGCCAACCTCTGAAATCAACGTCAATTCAAGCAGGTTCATTCTTTGCAATAACCACTACACATACAAGAGACCAAAGAATGTACACCTTTTATTTATATTTATGAATTTGAACAAAAGGACATTTTGTAAATAGTATCTATTGATGAAACCAAATAATGTTGGAAATGGAAAGAGACAGAATGCACTGTATAGTTTGTGATGAATTTCAATAAACTTTCTATTCTGCAACTGTGAAGTCTTTTTTTCTTCTCACTTTTCTTCATTGAGGGGACAGTATACTGACTTACCGTAACCTTAAACGTGACCACTACATGTGCAGCGGGAATCATTACCACTACTGTCCCAGTCTGGGTATTTGACAAGTAGCCTGACACGAAAAGAGTCTTCAGAGGCAGTAACTCCATTTTAAATGTTTACTTAAAAATATATATATACGACTTATTCTGTGCTCAACTTGGCACAACGTTCAAAAAAACTAAATACTGAATCACAGAAAACATCTAATTAATTGTAATATGGCTCATACAACACGTCCCCCCAACTCTCTAATTGAATGATTCAATGAAAACACATCTGCACTCCGAGCAGCCCGGTTCTACCATGCAGGGTGCAAGAGCACCCTCAGTATTTGTGGGTGAGTGATTTTTTTTAACATTCTCTCAGCCAGTCACTGGTCTCACAGTTGGAAAATAGCATCAGCTATGATGCACCCTGGAAACCAGATGTCCCCTCGTAAGAACAGCTAACAATGCTGTTGTGATGGACCGGGCTGATGTATGTGGAAGTGTATGATTATACTGTTTACAGGCAATTTAATGAAGCTTCTCATAAAACATAAAGCAGATATGGACGGCAGATAATCAGAAGACGCATTCACTCATTGACCAATACAGACTGATTTACTTTTGTGCTCTAACTAATACAAACATAGTCATAGAACAAGTAATGGAATGAAGTATGTAATAAAGTAAAAATCATCTTACAGGAGTGATAAGAAAAAAGTTACTTATTATACTTTGGCGGTCTATGACTAATCTCATCCATCTAAATATGACGTGTAGGAAACAAGTTTGTCATTGGTCTCTGTACAATGTGTATGCATCATGTCACCTTCAATAAAATAATAAACTTCAACCAAGAGGATATTGAGAAGTTATTATTGTGAAACGTTTTTCCACCTCAAGATTTAAGTACAGTATATTGGTTACACCTCCTTTCTTACATGCATATGTATAATACACACATATCTTCAGTGTTTCTAGGTCACCACATGTCAAGTAGCACACTTGCTCCAACGCCTTGATTTCATAATTTTATTCAGGGCTCCTCATATCAGCAGAGCTGTTGTTGGCCGGCAGTGTCCCGCCCATCAGAAGGTCTCACACTCTGTGTCCTGCGTGGAGCAGCCGGCACAGTGGCAGTGCAGAGCCATGGGATAGTGGTAGAGAGGGGAGACGTGGGGCTGGCAGCCCGGCAGGCGGGCGGTCATGTGGCGGATACGACTGTAGGTACACACGCGATGGTGTCGATGGATGTAAGGGGGATCCGGCACAGGCTTCTGCAAGGTTCACACACACACAAACACAGACACACAGCTTGGAATTTGAAGCTTGACAAAGGTCGATTTCCTAGTTCTTCCCTGAGCTTTTCAATCATCTAATTTTTTTGGAGGGAAAGATGAAGATGCTGTTTAACGTCCACTTACGCATGAGCATCAGTTTAGATTTGTATCAACAATAAGCAACCTCCAGCTGCAGGAGGACCATGGGGGGCTGTTGAAAGCCTTGGAAAAGGATAGTAAGTGGACTTTAAACTCTAATAATGACTTTGCGCTTGAGGCAGCTCTTTTCTTGCGGATTCAGAGATTTGTTTCTTCTCGATGCTTGAAATCTCATCGCACATCCAACCACAATGACATATGAGTCTGAGCTGATAAGTGGTCACTGGCCCTCTTTGAGTCTTTTTTTTTAGTTTATTTTACAAATGTTACCTCCCAGGTGTGACAGCGCCCCCAGCAAGCCTCCGTGCTGATGCGCAGTCCCTTGCAGCCCGGCTTCTGGGCCACGAAGGAGAACTCTCGCACGGCGCAGCCTCGGAAGCCGTGAAGTGTGGTCGTCAAGCCGTGGCGTACCTCCGCTGCCACGGCAACCAGGAGGAGGAGGAGCAGGAAGGAGGTGGACAGGGGTTGGAGATGCATGCTGGTACCGGAAAAATACTAAGTAAGTGTCTTTGATGGAGGAAACACATCCATTATACCTCATGTACTTCTAGTGACCTTCTCCACCTGGATGGAAAACCCTTCACCTTCAAAATAAATGATTTCATTTTTTTGTTATGTTTACTTTGAATACCATCTACTCGCTAAAGGTACATACTTCAAATATACAGGGAAGATGATCCAAAAAAGAAAAAAACTTTCAGAGCAGTATTGTGACTCGCAGCTTCCTCTAGTGTTTATTATGGCAACTGCAGCCAATAAAGTAATCTATTCACTGCAACAACCAAATAAGTAATTATTTCAATGTGTAACTGCTACTTAAGTTAAAATAAAGGTTTCCAATTAAGAAAAGACAACAACAAAAACCTCTAAATTCTCTTTTAAAGTAAATGCGACAGTTCAGTAATTTCACCAACTCGCATAAAATGTCAGTTTTCATTTCTTGTTTGAATCAAAATCATTTATTTAATGTTACTGGAGACATCTGCTTAATTACTCTTCAAGCAAACCACTTTAATTGCACTTAAACAACTGGAATCACCTCAATTCAGCCAGACTGTAGAATGCTTATTAAGAAATAAAACACGGACATAAAAATACTTTCTGCATGAAGAGACGAAGAGATTCACTCACTCGTACACAGTGAGTGCAGTAACTTCCAATAAGCTATGGAACTACACTGTGGGGTAAAGCAGCCTGCTAAGATAATTATGTATATATAATGTCCCAAAGCAGTAAAAAGTACATTTAAAATGAGTATTAGTCAAAATGAATGTTACATACCTGCCCAATACTTAATGGATGTCAGAAAAAAAAACACCTTTTCGGCTGAAGATCTTGCGGGGATTTGAGCAGCTGGACTCCTGTGTCTCTCTCTGCCCGGACAACAACCGGTGAATGGAACCAATCTGTCCTTGTTGTTGTTTTTAGAAGGCCATTAGGGCGAACGGACACTCTGACATCATAGCAATTACAATGAAATACCATTAGAGACCCCAAGCCAGAAATAATGGAGACTCCCTGGAAAAAACTGATGCTTGTCTATGTTTTCTTAACCTCAGCCTGTATCTCTCTGTGTGAGTGCATGAGTGCTTGAGCCATGAGCGCACGTGTGTGTGTGTGTGTGTGTGTGTGTGTGTGTGTGTGTGTGTGTGTGTGTGTGCGTGTGTGCAGTTCTTTATCCAACTTTTGTCTCCACTCAACGATGTGAGGATTGTCGGTACTGACGATATTGGTGAGATAAAAACAGAGGACGGAACTTTAAAACTCTCTGGAGTTCCATAGCCGTTTATTGGAACATATAATGCAATGATTGTTTGTTAATTAGGCTGAATTACTCATCTCAAGCGAGTTTTGAAAGTTAATGTTTGAATTCCAATTTATTTGACCACAATATGGAAATTAACGTAAATCAACGTTCTTCTGAAACAGTTGGAAAATAAATCAAAACTGTATAGCATTTGAAAATGCTCAGCAAGAGGGTAAAAAATTTGGAGCTAAAACATTTTTTGCAAAAAAACATTGACAGCATCACCCAATAAGACAAATGTTACTCTGGTTTTGCGGTTTGATGCCTGGCCAGCAGTGCACACTGGGTTTATATTTGCGTGGGTCTGTATGCTATAACACATTATCTATATGGGAATATGAAATGGTTAAGATTTAAGAAGCATGCATTGTGCCTGTTGTTAAAAGAATCGTCAAAAGTGAGTGTAATTGATTGATTGAAAAGAGGTGACACAAAAACAGCAGACTCAACAGAGTGTTTCTCAAAGTGAAGTTTCATTTTTAGCACATAGTTTTTTTTCCTCCATTCTACACCCCTCTGTCATGTTACGTACAGTAGTAAGCTTCTCTACATTCACCCCCCCCCCCCCTCCCCCCCTCCCGCCCAACCCCCCCTCCCCGCCGCTGTGTTGGTCCCCAAAATATACATCTTCTTCTTCCCCTGCTTCAACTCAATCCTCATCTCTAAGTTTTTTCTTCAACACAACAAACACAGACCATTGGGCAGACAGTGCAAATCTAGAAATTCAGTGAAATTGCTACGTAATGCAGTTGTAGGTTTCGGTAACATTATATTCTCACTCTGTTACTGTTGCTCTGACTTATTGCCATTCTATCGTGTCTAACTCTACGACTTTTTCTTTCCTCTGTCTTTCTCCTCCTCTGTTTGTGAACCTTTAATCGCTTTCACCACATCGCCCCTCTGATTTCAAAGCGCTTGTTTCCCGGTTTTTGGCCCCATGGAGACGGCCACAGAGAGGACATGCGACAGCCTGATGGCGATAGCCAAGCTTTCAACGGACACTCTCTCCTCTCACGCCTCGTCTTCTAGAGCAGGCCTAGAATCAAGCTACGTGATTCTAGGAAGAAGAATAGTGCTATTGATCATTAGGTGAGAAGCTTGGAACAGTGGGATCCGTTTCCCCAGTCAGCTGACCGGCTGACAGTTACAATCATGAGGGTTTGTGAGTAAGCCACCAGAAACCCAAAATCATAAGGTAAGCTGAGTGTGAATGAAAGCAAGGTCAATTTTTGTCTCGTTACGGTTTGTGTTGTTGGAGGGTTATTTGCCTGAGTCGAAATGATGTTTGTAATCCAACTAAATGTGCATTTTTTTCCCCTCTGTCCACAGTACCGACGAGTTGTTTGTTTGTAGGGGCGGGTATGAGCCCGATGCCAGTGGGCAGCCAGAAAACCCCGGCCCCCTTTAACCTGAAATCGCTTGTGGATTCATTTCGTGGTTTCGTTCAAAACGTCAAAGGGGCATTTATGTTACATATGCTGGATGATCGGTGGTTGGTTTTTTTGCTGTGGATTTGGCGAGGTTTGTCTGAAATAAATGATACTCCTCGCTCTCCTGGGAAACGTTACAAGCGCACATTTTGTGGTGTAATCTGCATATCATATTTCATAACTTGTCAGTGTTGTGTTTGGAGTAACGGATTAGTGCAGATTGTACGACAGCACCAAGAAAAAAGTGTGAAAAGTGGGCTAGGTGCATGAAATTGGTTGAAATGCTAAATCAACTCAAATAAGCTTCGAATGCCAATCAGAGAACTGTCGGTCAAATGGATTTCAGGACATTGTTGACTCAGGCGTGATTGGAACGGCTGGTCCGAAGGGTTTTTGAATGTTTGCGTCTCCAGCGTGAAAAAAAGAACAATCAATCCATTCGATTTACGATACATTCTGATTCAAAGAGAAGGAGAGAGAGGGGAAAAAGAAACAAAGAGAGAACGGTTTTCTCTCTCATTCTCCATCACTCTGTCTACGCACATCTCCTGCTCACTGATTCACTCACCGGATACACACCAGCGCGCACGCAAACACACACACACACTCACACAACCTGACCATCATTATCGAATAGAAAATAAATAGCATCAGTATCAGTTTTCCACAAATGAACAAGATCATACAAAAACCAAGAAGAAAAAACAACATAATTACAAAGCAAAGTCATTTTTCATCAAATCAATTTTCACAAAAAGTACCTTAAGACAATGTGAATATCAAGGATGCGACAGGAGTCAAAACAAGAGTGGGGGGTAAACTTTTGAGCGTAACACCCACTTCCTGTTTAACCCCCTAAGAACACACATATTATCCTGAAAGAATGAAAATATTGCTAAAATAATTTTTTTTCGTTTTTCCCCCCTCCTCTCTTCATCCCATCACTCTGCCAAATGATCAGACGAGAATAAACACATTTTTCTTGGTTCACACAAAAAAAAAGTTATCGCCGTCGTGGTCGCCATCGAGCAGGTCTGCTGATCCTAAAGGAACAGAAATCCAACTGGATCACTGTGTTTTTCTTTTGGTCTGAAACACTTGTGGTGCGCTTTATTTGTCCTCCAGTAACCTCTGAGATAGGCGGGGTTTACTAGTCGGCATGGTTACATTTTTGGTTACAAATTCAGGGAGTTCTGAAGTCAACTTTTGACAAACGTAACCTAGGCAAATGAGTACATTTGTAAATCTTTTAACCCAAAAATCATCGCAGCGTGTTAAATAAAAGGTAACCTGTGGAGATTTTGACATCTAGTAGCACTACAGAGTAATATTTTAATGAGCTATTATGTTTGCAATCTATCGGCAGTTGGTGGCAGAAATGTGCAACGAAACTCAGCAATATGCCAAACGAAGACAGGGAAGAGGGAGCTTGCTAGCAGGTATACACGTATGTAAACAATGCATGAGTTAGAATATGTCTGGGTTTTATTTTACGTCAACTTCATAGATGTTTCACCACGAAGGAAATGCATTTGATTCAATTTGATTTCAAGCCTCAAAGGTACACACAGTGCGTTTTGGTGAGTAACACTGAATGCAAACATTACTTTGTTTGTTTACAAGAAAGCTCCACAGGGCACCTTTAAACAAAATAAATATGAAACATATTCTTCGAACATGGAATGTTTTGGGATTTTGTTACGAAATACCCCTTTAAAATACACCTATCGCACCACAAACATCCCAAAGTGAAAGAGAAAAGAAAAACAGCCACCGCCAATCCAGTTCATTCCTCCCCTCTTTAAGGTCTGTTAAAGGGGAACTCTGCTGAATTTCAGTACTCACAATATGGCCTCACACAGGTAACACGTGATGTGAATTCAAAATTCAAGCCGGCCTTCCCCTTTATGGTATCTGCTACACTAGTGTTTCTCCCATAATACACTACAGAAATATCCAGAGACATATGTATATATATATATATATATATATATATATATATATATATATATATATATATAAAAACATTATCATCATCATCATCATCATCATCCTAGTACTTAGAGTAGAGTAGTAGTAGAGTAACAAGTAAGAAGAAGGAACAGTATTGTACTTTATATCATTATCATCATCTTCATCAGTGTTTTTTTAACCTCGAGAGACTTTAGACTCGTCCTTTGGTGGGACCCCATCAGAATGGGAGAGAAGTTAGCGCCAGAACCAGCTCTGTGTGTGTGTGTGTGTGTGTGTGTGTGTGTGTGCCTGTGCGTGTACTTGTTTGACCTGGATACACTTTCTCCCTTAACTCTGTCTTCTCATATTTACTGTGAATATGTACCTGCCGCTGTGTGTGTGTGTGTGTGTGTGTTTGTGTTTCTCTGTGAGGTTTTGTTTCTGTCTGGTCTGTTCAACAATAGTTTGGGGAGACATTTGTGTGAAATTGTTTCTTTTGTTTATTAATGCATTGTGCTATCCACGCATGAAATAAGCATCTCTGACCAAAAGATAAATACGTGGCCACAGTACAGACTCTGACCCGGTCGGTTGAATATCAAGTTCGACCCGTGTTCAACTTGGTTGCTGTTGCACCAAAAGAGGAATTTCCTCTCTCATTTGAAGGCTGATTTGAAGCAGGCCAGCTACAAATTTTGGATACTGACCTGCAGTTTGGTAAACCAGCCGCTTATTGTGACTACTGTCTGCACTCTCAGGACAATATTCATCTTCTCATCTGCAACGTAATGCGTGCACAGCAAAGAGGGAACCAGTTTCACACAAGTTGGTCAGAAATAAAAAGGCGCAGTGTTTACCTCAGATCACCGAGTTTGTGCGCTTTTCCACAAAAAAGCCACGCGCTCTCAATGATCCAGGATAAAAACGAACAGTGGATTTGTTTTGTACCTTTTCTCTCCCAACGCTTTCACCATCTACCTCATGCCTTCTCCCTGTCCCCTAACACCCCCCCTGTGCTATCCAATCTTTGCCCTGCAGCACCTAGGTGGTGCCCTCCCCGCCTCCGGAGGAGGAAGAGGAGGCCCCGCTGGGCTTGGGCTCGTTGTGGTCGGAGATGGAGGTCTGCGGGGACGAAGGGGTCGGCGGGTCCCCTCTCTCGCCTCGCTCCTGCAGGTTGCGCTGGTTCCTGGCCGCCTCGGTGAGCATCTGCATCCGGCGGTCCTGGTGCTCCTCCAGGCCTCGCCAGAGGTCTGCACGCTCCCTGTCTCGCTTCAGCTCCCTGAAGGGGGGGGGGAGGAAAAAAAAAGACAGGGATGCAAAGAGAGAAGCAAAGGAGGAGAAATGAGCATTTGGGAAAAACAATTTAGACAAGCCGAGGTACCAACGGGACTCGGGGAGAAAAACTAGGCCAACTAGGGCAATTGTTAACATTAAGGTGTTCAGTGTGAACAAAGTGAAATCCCTGTGGACGTGTTTAATGTCCTTTTGTTGGAATTGTACAGTATAAACCACCAACTCCAAAGAAAATGACGCACTTAACGTCATTTAACAGGTTAAAGGAAGGTGTAAATCTGTCGTCCTTTATAGGTTGTGTATTTTTACTTATTTTTTCTGCTAATTATTAACCGCGAGTCGAGCCCAGCGAGCTGCGTCTCCTGCCTGGCTAAAATGAACCTTCCCTGACTCCAACTCCCGAACTCTCAAGATGATGATCTGATGATCATGATCCTTTCATTTTGGAAAGAAAGCCGAAATGTTTTTTTTCCCAAAAGTATCAGGTTTTAAAAAAGGCATTACACCGACTGTAATCATGACCCGTGTAGAAAAGATGACTGAAGCGACACATACTTACAGTACAGCGTGAAATATGATGTGATGGATAATGAAACACATAGCGACTCAAACATGAGTTAAGAGACGTCTTGTTCTTCCTCTCGTAGTCCAGTGACACAAATCCACACACACACACACACACACACACACACACACAAGCGCTCGTACGCGCACAAAGAGAGTGAGTCATGCTCACTTCTGTTTCTCCACTTTGTAGGAGGCAGTGAGGTCATCAAACAACTTGCTGTTCATCTCCATGAAGGTCTTCAGCACGTTGTAGATCAGAGACACGATGGTCCTGTAGAGGATAATAAACCTGGGTTAGAGGGTTAAGAACTTTGGTTTTGGGGAGATATGAACCCACTCAACAGTATGTGTTGCCTGGGTCACGGCATGCAAGTCATTCATGTGTCTCTGGTAGATCAATAGCTTTGATGCTAACTTTTGAGCTAGTACATTTCGTTCAGAGTTGGGATCTTCTTATGTCGTGGTGGAACCTTTTCTAAATGCAAATTTAGAACTGTTTATCATCAGAAGGAAATGGTGATTGTTGATTTTTATTTTATAATCCCACAACATTTATTCAATATTTCTAAACTTGTGCCTAAATTGCATTATTTTTGCATGATGGTATTCTTCACTTTGACCACCAAAAAAACATAAAAAAACAGCAGCTGGCAGAGCTGAAGGTTTCATCCGCATTGACTCCCGTATATAATCAAAAGTTGAATTGATTTGTGTGTGTCTGTGTGGGCCACTGACTGGTTCCAGTGCTCTTTGGAGACTCTGTAGAGGGTGGCGAACACCAGCGGCAGGATGACCTGACAGTTCTCCTCAATCAGGCTGAGGATGTATTCGTTGTTCCAGAAGTAAAGAGCCCGCTCCGCTACCTGAAACACAGGGACAGAGGCGTCGACTTTCATTCATCAAAGTTGCAGCGGGATTTGTTTTGCAGACTGCTGTTTGCAGTGTTTTATAAAGTTGTCATGAGGGCTGACGTTCAGAGGTTTGTTTTGCTGTAGTCACGTAATAAATCTGCAGGCAATTAAGGAACCGCTATAAGCCTAATTACTCAATACTGTTTCAACAAAAGACTTCCAGCACGGTCTAAATGAGCGGCTGCGGCTACCTGGAAGTGAGGGCTGGAGATGCAGGCTGCGATCTGCTTGAAGAGCGGCTCCTGCACCCGGATGAACTGAGACGGCTCGATCACATCCAGGATCTCCTCGATCTCCCCCAGGAACATCACCTGAATACGCAGACACCCCGAACCAACACGTTTAAAGGCAAAGACCCGACATTCCCAGGAGGGAATTAACGTGCGACTCAAGGAATACCTGTCGATACATACAAGAAACAGCAGCTAATGTTGTCTCACCTCTTTCTGCGTGCAGGTCTTTGGCCAGTACTTGAGGAGCCCTCTGATGATCTGCAGAGAAAGGGTGAGACACATTGATATGAATAAACACTGCAGGCATCAGCTCAGCAGGGTAAGCTGAAGAACAACCAATCTGTGCCGTCTCCTTTGACATATATTCATACTGTACTATGCATTCAAAATAGGTTGTTTACTTTGTCTTGTTGGTGAATGCAGAAGTAGGTTTGATCAAATGATCTGGTTCAACCAGATCATCAAAATTCATTTGTACACAGACAAAGGTTGAATTAGGGGGTGAGTCAATTAACTGACAGACAGTTGGGGAAAGAATTGTGCTGTTGGACCTTTCTTTTCCATGTGGTTTCCTTTCAAAACAACCCTGGCTGACCTGTATGTTCCTTCTGTTCATTAAAAGCACGGACCGTAGATCTGTTTGTCACTTGGAGGCAAGACAAGAAACAAACACATTGACCTACTGTCCTCCAGCAAACACGCCAGCAGACCGCTGCAGACACAGAGAAGCGCGTTTCTCTCCATTAGGAGTCACGTTCAGGGTACTTTTAAGTACTTTTAGCTCTGCTTTCGTCTCCACCACATCTGGCTGTTTAGTTTAGCTAAATTACATACTATGTTCTATTTCTTTCTTTCAGCATCTGACGTGTTTCGAGCGATGTCACCACGGTCTAAAGTCATAGTCTCAGAATCCCGTTATCCTTGAAATGAAATGAATTAGCAAGTGTGTTGGTGTAAGTACAACGATGTAATGAAACGCGGTCTTACATATTCAGTCACTGTAGCATCTTTCTCCATAAATTGCACCACACAGTAGGCCAGCTGTAAGGACAGAGGAGACGTGGTTAGAACACACGCAAAACACACTCACACACACACACACACACACACACACACACGTTCCCTGAAGCTGTCAAGGAGACAAGGGGGATCTTAGCACTTATCCCACAGGATTACACTCTGCAAAAGATCGGAAAGACAAGTTTTCCAAGGGGAGCTGTGTCACAAGTGTGTGTGTGTGTGTGTGTGTGTGTGTCTACCCTACATCACCTCTTGTCTCCTACTATATGATCTGCAATCATTTCCTATTATTCAGTGGGTGTGAATAAGTGTGTGTGTGTGTGTGTGTGTACGTGCATGATTGTGTTTTGTGGTTGCCCCCTCCACCCCGGGCCGTTGCCATGGCGAGTGGGCACCGTGGCGACGGAGACTGTGTGTGCGTGTGTTTACTTCGGAAGGAGTGATGTCACACACGCAAAGTCCCTTAAGGACAACGTGAGATAGAGTTTAGACCTCTTGTCTCTGCCTCCGTCTGTCCTCTTCTGTTCTATTTATACCTCTGCTCTGTTCAATAGATTACTGTACTGGTCTTTTTTTTATTACTTTTAGATAAGGAAGTTCAAGAGGCATCGATGTGAAAGTATACACAACATTTAGTGCGTGTATTGTTACACTTACAGACAGTAAACGTGGTGTACTCTCGAATTATGATGGTTGTTCTCAATATTTCTGTAGAACAATCACATTTACTCTCGTTTATTTCTTCTTTTTATTGTAGTTTCTGTCCAGTAGCTCCATTGTGTATCTCTCTGCCTGTTTGGCTTTCACATCATCCACATCCTTCATCCTCTAATCCCTTTTCCTTCTTACTGTGCACCTTCCTTGTTTGCCTCCATCCCTAACTTTCCTCTCCCTCACCCTCGCACTGCAGCATGTAGTGAAGCAGAAAGAGGGAGTGGCGCATAAGAATAGGGGGCTGGTGAAAGCAGGGATGTCAAGTTTGAAATTTAGAAAAAAAGCAGGAAAAAGAGGATTAAAATGAAGGTGCTGGTCGGGGAAAGTATTTAAAGTATTAGTGAGACATTAGAGTTGCTGCTCGGGGTAAATATGATGATAGGCCAGGATAAGTGGGGAATGGAGGCCGTTGTTAGGCTAAAGATTATTGAGATTGTTGTCTTTTTAGGCTGAGACTATACTAATGTTGATCTGTCAAGGTTACAGTTCAAGTTTGGGTCTATTTTTGGGGATGAAGTCACTAGAAAGAACTATTGTTGGGTTTTTTTGCCTGCAAATTTGTTCAAACTTGTACATCAAGTGGTGCCCTGTTTACTGCTTTAAATTACCATGTGAAACATGAACAGAAACCAGCTTGACCCGTGAATCATGTCGATTCATTCACTTAGTCCTTTAGTTGACTGTGGAGCAAGTGGAGCAAGTAGCAGAAGTGAAGCCGTGTCTGACAATGATGGACCACAGCTGTTTATCCACCAGTGTTTCTGTGGACTTCTGATATTTCATTCATCCGGTTGCAAAAAAGATATTTACACTGGGCACATTTTTACAAATAACTACAGTAAAAGTAGAGACCAAATAGGTACATAACACAAAACAAACAATTAGTATACTGGTTTCTTAGCTAAAGCAAGTTTTCATTTAAAGTGTGTACATGAAGTGTGATTTGAGCTTAAAAAGGGAAAACGTTGCCTTTACTTTTTGCTTAAACATAACGCGTGAAAATGTTCATGAGCAACAATCCCTTCATAAGCTACCGTACGGATAACTGAAATGTATTTCACAGTGCAGAGAAAAACATTTAAGATGATTAAATGCAGCCGTAATTTCATAATTTTATATTTAGATCCAAATCTGGATCACTCTTTTTTCACTTTTACGCAGCCACACCTACTCAGAACAAAACTTCTGTCTGCTCGCATGTGTCCCCTGTGACCCTGTCAACCCGAGTGTGTGTGTGTGTGTGTGTGTGTGTGTGTGTGTGTGTGTGTGTGTGTGTGTGTGTGTGTGTGTGTGTGTGTGTGTGTGTGTGTGTGTTTGAGTGTTGAATAATGTATGCGTGCGAACCGCAGGGAGGATGACAGGGAGGAGAAATGTAGGGCACGGTGATGATGAAACCTGGAATACACACACACACTCACACACACATACCTCTCTGCACCTGCTGCATATCTAAATAACGTGTGGCACAGACCAAATGCACACACACACACACACACACACACACACACACAATAGACCGGCCGCCATCTGTGTCGTTAAATATTACCATCACACACACACACACAGTGTATTTCAACAGTGAGCGCATCCTCTGCGGTTATTATCTGTGGCCCAACTCTGCCTCTCAGTGGTACATTTCACACATTGCAGGAATAACCATAACTATTTGAGAGACATTCACTTGTCACTGATTTGTCGAGGGTGAGGAAGAGTGGTGGATCTCCTCGTAGTAGAGAAGCCAGAAGCTTAGCTACGGGCCTGATTTATATTATGATGGTCAGAGGAGAAGAGTCTCCAAATCCACGATAAAGGATGCCTCAGTCAAGGAGAAGAAATGCAAAACCACCACATATTCTAAATTATTCAGTTACGTTGCCTTTTTTTTTGCTGCTGGTCAATGGTGAAGATGATAAAAAAAATACAAGCAAACATTTACATGTGAACACAGATGGAAAAACACTTGTACAGTGTAGCAGGCGGATTAACACCTTTCTCTGCACGTGGACGTCAACATGGGAAACAAACATTCAAGTACAGTATTGTTAACGGAATTGGTGGTGTCACATGGAGCATCAAAGGTTTTAAACAACAAAACGACTAAAAAACAACGACTGTGCGTAGGCGGTGTCGCTGACCTGTGCGTGGAAGATGGAAAGGGACTTTGCCGTGTGTAACGGGATGAGGACCCGGACCAGGAACTGCTTGTGTTCAGCCTTCAGCGGCAGGGCGAAGCCGTTTATGATGCTGTGGAAAAAGGACAGTTACGGTAAAACTCTGCATCCACATACTGTCTCAGTGTCTCTGTATCAGTCAGTCTACCTGTGAGACTGTCTGCCTTGCAGCCTCTTGGTTAAATGGGACATTTCTTCAATTCTTCTTCATTTTTCCCCCCTCTCCCTCCCTGTACAAGGAATCCTCTCTCGCCCATGTCTCTCTCTCTCTCTCTCTCTCTCTCTCTCTCTCTCTCATTCTCTCATTCTAGCTATGTGTGGGAGGAGCTATAAATACCTCTGTTACCACCAACATGAATACAAACCTCTCTCTCTTCTGCTATTCTCGCTCCTTCTTCCTCCTCTTTTGACTCACGGTTCACTCACTCATCCGCTCTCCATCCCTCACCCTATTATCTTTCCTCACCTCAAATTATCTCTCTACTCTCTCTACCTTCTCTTCATTACCTCCTCAAACGTCACCGACAGTCTTATAATTCACTTGTTCAATCGGGTAGTCATGGGATGGAAGTAATGTTATCCTAAAGTTATTTTTGCTAAAAATTCTAGGTCTTTAAATAAATCAAAATTTCAAAAAACATTTTGTTCTTATTAGTATCTAATAATAAAAAACAAGCATCAAAGGCACAAGCCATAGATAGATTCAGTCCATTTGTTTGTTTGCTAACTGATTTCTCTATTTAAATCTTGTTAATCTGTTGCATGACTTCAATAAGAAATATTTAAGAGTGTTAAATCATAGAGATTAGAAAAAACATGCAAAGATCCAGTAACCTATCATGTATTTAGTTTAACAGGGCCCAATGCTACCTGCCTATATATATATATATATATATATATATATATATATATATATATATATATATATATATATATATATAAATCTCCCTTTAACATCATTTTGCATTAGGAGGGAGTGAGACCAAGAGCAGAATAGATATGATAGATATAACAGATGTTTATGTCCATCCACCATTCTCACTCTCCCTGTATTTGTCTTTATTAGCGTTATCTCTCCATCCTTTATACAATTTATCTATTTGAGTAGAGAGCAAGACATGTTTGTTCATCGGGTCGGCTTGCTCCCTTTGCTCTCCCATTCCTACTTCCTCACATGCCTCTTACTGGCCTCAGAGACTAAGCAAGCAGCCATACAAACCCCTGACTCATTTGTCATTTATGTATTTATACTCGCTGTTGTTTCCATCCCTCCTTCCTGCCATCGCCCAGCATTACTTCTTACCGCTTCATTCTTTGCACACACCGTTGTTTGCCTGATAGGGAACGATGGAACGACAGTACATCTAAAATAAAATGCCTAATAAATTGTTTTTGTGTCACCATTCCCCGCAGTCCCTTAAATCGCTTGGTTACCAGCTGTCTCGTGAATAGGAGCAGCTGGCACAAGTACAGTATCTGTGTGTGTGTCCGTCTCCAAATGCATCCATTAAGACGTGACATAGAACAAAGCATCCTTCCCTCCAGAGGGCCACAGTTTTCCTTTAAGTGCGTCTGTGTGATTGGACACGAACCTGCCGAGGATTTCCAGAAGCTCCGCTACGCCGTTGAAGTGCTCAGTTTCGTATATGAACCTGAAGATCAGACACAACATACACACATAGAGTGACGTGTAATGACGCGTCAGCAAAATGAGCAGCCATTCTAGTTAAACTAAAGTGAAAGGGACTAAAAGGAGGACGGCAATTCTTTAAATAGTAAAAGAAAGAATCTGTTCACATTAATTACAAGTTAATGTAATTCCCATTCCTGAAATTTCATGAAGTAAATGTATAATTAACATGATTTATGTAATACAACTCGGATGCCTTTGTAATTACAATATCAGTGAACCACGTTCAGGCTTGTTCTGCACCTTTTCGCTGTCGAAATGTACAAACGATGATGCTGAAAGCAGTTAACGGAGACAGAAATAGAGCGTCGCAGCATCACCGCGCTTCTGTGCTCGAACTTCATTGCAAACACAACAATACAGCTCCGCTTGGCGAAGGGCAACGATGAGACATGATTGTACATCACAGCAAGCAAGTTATTTGAGGAGTCACCACGCAAGGATTTAACTCTCAAGATCACTGCAGGATGAGGCTGCATCGACCAGCCAGCGCGTGCAGATGTGCACAGTCATGCCGTCAGCCTATGTGTGCGTCTGTGGTAGAACACTAGTCTACGCTCTTAAATTTCTTTGTAACCTTTTTATCAATGTGAAAAAGGGGCGACCTCATAATATACGAGGCTTTTACACTCTTCTAATCATGGTAACTCGGTAAAAAAATGCTTTAAAATCATGACGCACCAAGCGGAAGCGTTGCATCACAGAGGTGATAAACACAGCTTTTCTCCCCGCTGATGGTCTTTGTGGGCGGATGTTTGATTCATTAATGTCCAAATGCTATAAATAGCGAGCACTGTTAAATCCGACGCAACGGACTGGTGGGGGGGAGCCCGTACCTGAGGAAGATGTTGTTGATCTGTTTGCGGATGTAGGCCCGGAGGCCCAGTAGTTTTCCATAGACACGGTGCAGGATGGTCTTCAGGTACTCCCTCTCTCTGGGGTCCTCGCTGTCAAACAGCTCCAGGAGCTGCACACATAAGACAGTTACAGACACACATACAGAAGGGACATTTTCCAAGTGCGTTCATTCTCTGTTCTCCTCACTTCTGCACCTAAACCCAAACCTCAATGTCAAAAGATGTATTCTTCAATACAAAACGAATCTCTGATTTTTCAGTACACCCGGAAACAAGGACCATCAATCTCTACAGCGTTTTTCCTATTTCTGTGAAAAAACATTCTGATATTTATAAAACTCCTTAAAAATATAGCAGAATATTAAACATAAAAGTTGTGCAACAAGAACTGTCTTTTAGTCAATTTTGTTTTATACATGCCCCAACTTAGATCATACACTGAAAGACCAGCACTGCTTCAAGGAAGGGATTCGTTTATTTATAGCTTTCCATTTATCATGATTTTATGACCATCTTAAGAGCTTTTCATTTTACAAAACGCGAGGAGAGGAGAGGAGAGGATTACCTGCAGGACAAACTTCTGGTCAACGTAGCGTTTGGCCATGGAGGGCTGGAAGTCCGGGCTCTCCAGGAAACGCAGAAAGAACTCGTACACCAGCTGATGGAGGCACAGAGCAAGCGATGAGTAGCAGACTAGTGGCCGTGGGTTTTTTTGGAAAGCAATGAATATTTTGGGATTTCTGAATTGGCGAGAGTTTGGAGATAAAACATGTACTCTTTGTGCGCTAATGCCAGCAGCAGTTAGCTAAGTGATAAAATAACGTTTTTTTTAACCCTTAAGAGAAAATCAAGTTAGCATTTTGCACTGTTCCGATTCTTAATGCTAAGCTAAAAGGCTGCAGGGAGTGGGGTTTTTTTCAAAATAGCAAACAGTGTGCAGTTATGTGCATCATGACATTGTCCACTCTCATAAATATAGCATATAATACATAGCTGGGACACATGTATTGTGTTTCGATTTAACTGTAAGAACAAAGCAATAGCTTTGCAACAATTCCAGAACTGTTTAAAGCCAGAAAAGGGCCAAAAGTCCAAACATTTTGCTGAATATCCATTGCGAGAGACGGGTAAAATGCATGTAATTATGTACCTGCAGATGCGGCCAGGAGGCTTCGAGTGTTGGCTCATCTTCCTCAGGGTCAAACTCTGGATTCTCGCTCGGTGGGAGAGTACGGAAGATATTTACCGAGATCTGGAGAACCGCGAAGGAGGAGCAGTGGTGAAGGAAAGTAACGGGGACCAGTGGAAGAATGTGGGAAAGGAAGTGGCAAGAGGAAAAGATGAAAAAGAGATTATGACGAGAGGTAAGGAGGATGGGGATAATGGGAGAGGCCAGAAGAGCAGATCAGAGGGGAAAGGGAAGCGAAAAGAGAGGTTGAGAGAAAAATTAGAAAGAGACCAATTACAGTACATTAATGTTGTAATAGATCAAATGTAACCTTGATGGATATACCTATTAAATTGCCAGTGTTAGAACACAACATGTTTGATGCTTTCCACTGGTAAGATATGCAACCTCGCTGCTCGCACAGTCATGATTTATTCAACACAAGCATTTCCACACCCCATTAAGTGAATTAACTGCACTGTAAAAAGCAAATGTGGTAAAACCCAACTCCCAAATTATGCTGTATCCTCTTCTCGTTCTTCCTCTCTGCGCACTACTGTAGGATGTAGGCCCATTCCACATGACCATGTAAACCTCAGACTTAAACTTGTATTTAGAATTAGACTAAACTTTGATAACAATTTGTTTTGGGAAACATAATTTGGGTCATCTGGTACCCTACTCCTGTATTACATGTATTCACTCATTGCACTCTGACTGTAACTCATTCACTAAAAGAAACTTTGCCGGAAATATTTAAGATTTTTTTTTTTTTTAAACCTTTGCCCACATTCATCAAATTACATCCTGTCTTGCATTTTCATATCTTCTGGGTTCAGTGAATCTGTAACTTTAGCATCTTTCCCCAATCCCCTTGACCTTTCTTCCTTTTTACATCATCGGGGACCCCTGGATCCGTGTGTTGGATTCCACACTCTTTACTCTCCATCCATCACTTGCTCTCCTTCTGTGCAGCCAATTGCTACTTATCTCTCCTTTCCTTTCCTCCCATTAACTGTGTGCCTCTCAATTCCTTAATACTTCCCTCGCCTCCGTTGTTAAAAGGCTCTGGTGACCTGTTTAATTTGCTCGGCTGCATTGATGATTGTTTGTCACTGTCTGTGCCCAATTGATTTTATTTCTATTCTTCTTTCATTCTAAACCAAACCTACCATCTTTATGGCCTCTGGGTACAGCGGCTCTATGAGGACCCCTCTGCTCGTGGCCACGCTCTCCACCAGCTCGTTGAGGGCGGCGCGTTTGATCTCCTTCCCCTTCAGGTCAGCCACGCAGTCCAGGAAATCGAACAGAACGCAGCACTGCTGCAGCTTCTTGCAGAACAGGTCGTGCAACTCTGCCACCGGGGCATCTGGATGATTGACAGGTAGGAAGGGGCAAAGAGACAGAGAAAAGGAGACATGTTGGACAAATGGGTTCAACGGCAATAATGTTTTTTTTTTTAAATGGCTGCCGCGGCTCACCCAACGGGTGTCCAACGGCGTTACTGGACCTCGCTTTGGGTACGGGAGAGAATCATTTGACTGAGAGTTTGAGTACACAGAGATATATTCTGCAGGCTAGATCTTCTCTCCAACGTAATGAGGAGGGGAAACAGGCTATTACTCTACAAACACATTTGTACCTTGTGTCTGTACCCCCCACACACACACATACACAGACACACATTCATGTCCACGCACACGTTCCTCCAGAGGGCCGTGTTGCATCTCAGTCCCTATTACCTGTCAGATGTGTTCTCCAGACCTGTTCATCACAATGAAACAACCTGCTGCCGGCCGCCGGATTAAAAGCTCGCCCTCCCAAAAAAGAAAAAAAGAAACACCACTTTTCTCAGATGTGGAGAAAGTGTCTGATACCCACGGATTACTGCGCACACGCAGGGAGTTTTAAATTGATTCGTTGGGCCTGGGGGGATGTGAGAACTTAGTAGCTCAGCCTGAAAAGCATCATGCTAAAAGTAAAAATAAAAAGAACCAATGTAGAGCGTTGCTGGCTTTGTCAGCGACCAAAACGGTTCTTTTTGTCACTGATGATGGTGATTGACGACAGCAAACAATGGGAGGCAGTGGAGATTCCTACATAGTGATTGTAGTGAAGTTTAGTAGGAACAATAAGAGATTGAGTATATACGTAACATAAATAATATTTTTGAAACATAATATATATACATGTACATAATATTAAAAATATTAAACTCATTCCTGGTTGTCATTTCTGACACCATTAGAAACTCAACTGGTGTATTGAATGTGCTGGTCACTCAGTGTACTTACAATCCTCAACAAATAATCCCGCTGTCATAGGAACAGAATTAAGCATTAAGATGACTGGGAAGCAGTCTAGACTATCTGAGGATGATCCAAAACTCACACACACACACACACGTGCGCACACACACACACACACACACACACACACACACACACACACACACACACACACACACACACAGCAGGAGCAGATTAGATTTAACCCTTCTTAACCCCCACGGGGGAAACTCACAGTCAGGGTAAGGGGGGCATACTGGAGCTTTTCCAGCCCCGGACCCCCTGACCACTTGTGGGCACACCAAGGCCATCTGCTCCCTTTGGCACAAAGCTGCACAGCGATAGACGAGACCTGCCCTCGGCTTGATGCGTCCAGGCACAGGACACGCACTCTTTGGAGACCATTGAAAGGGGTCTTTGTTCTATAAATTAGGACCGAATATGCCTTCCATAATTTAGAGGGTGATGGGACAGAGTAGCTGCACTTCAACAGGACTTATTTTAAGTTGAATACTTAACAAACCTACTAAGTTATTGTTGGGGAATCAGACTTTCTGACTTGCAACTTAAGGTTGAATTACATTTAAATGAACAAGATTGTCCTTCAGGCAAGTTCTCTGAAATTTTCTTTGTCATATATGTCAATGTCTGTATTTACATATGTGTCATTGTTATATATGTAGACGATGTGTGTTGTTTGTGATAAAGACTTTTTTGTCCACTAAAAATTCATGACGTGGTTTCTTTGTGACTTTCTTTCACAATTTCTTTTTGCCCGTCTTACATTGAGTGTTAGACTGCTCATTGAGCTGCACTGATGGACTTGTTCTTGATTTACAGCCATTTCTCAGTGACTGGGCCAACGTGTGACAGACAACTTTACACAGTGTTCTGACTATCGGGCACGAAACAGAGAAGTGTGAAAAGCTTAAGAGGAAAAGCTTTTTATTCTGACTGTGCTTGGAGAACAAACAAATCAGTGTTAATCTACAATACGACCACCTCTGTATCTCTTGCCTGGATTGAGGTGGCTGCTTCATCAGATTTTTCTCCTCCTGCGTCTCTCCTCCACCTCCCTCGGTTTCTCCACTGCTGGTTTTTTCTTTTTAGCTTCCCAAATATGCCCCTTCCCAACCGTTCTATATGCCTTCATCCTTCATCGCGTCCCACATCTACGCCGTCCACTCCCTCCCCGTTCTCTCCCTTCAGACAGACTGTGAAGGTGAAATCAAAATCCATTTTTTATGGGGAGTAATTGTATGAAGATGCGCCTGCCTGGTAAAGAGAGCAAAGTGAGAAGATGGAGAGAAAGAGAAAAGCATGAATGTGGGTTTGGGACACAGACAGTGAGGTGTGAAAAATAGAGAGAAAAATAGAGAAAATAAAAGGGATTTGTGGAAGAGAGAGGAATAAAACGAAAGATATAAAAAAACAAACGGGAACTGACAAAGTAGAGAGTATTTTAAGGCAAGGCGAACCAAATACTACTACCACTACTAGTTTTCTGAACTTTCACCACGATGTCTGTTATCGTGTTTGGTAGAAGCGATGAGGCAGTGCAGAAACTGAACTGGGGTAATACTGAGTGAGGTGGATTTTAGTTGAGCACTTTGCTGGGCTGTTATTCGGTCAACACAAGCTGCTCACCCATTCATTCAAGGCAGCTTTTAATATGATGTCAGGGCAGTGATTAGAGGTCTCGCTATAAGATCTTAATCGCAGCAAGTGAGTCATTGAACTACATTCATGCTTGTGACAATCCAAAGGTTTTTTTTCTATGGGTAACAGGCTTTGCAGAGACAATTCAAAAAATCAAATGCATGAAGTTCAATTTGATTTGTGAACTCAAAAAGCCTTGAGGATTAAAACCCATATTATCAACATGACACACCACTATTAACATGAGTTAAATTTCCCTAATTATAAAAGCATATTAAAACAGTAAGAAAAGCAATTACACTGTCATTCTCCTTTTCCTTCTAGAGTATGCTTTCAGTGCACAAAGTGCATCGACTCTTCTTTTATTCCTCTGTTATTATTGATAAAAAAGCCCCTTTTCATAGTCCTCATGCACAAAGAATAATTAATTCATTAATTCATTAATTCATTTATTAAAATGAAAAGAATTATTAGGTGCATGAGGAAGTGCCAAACCTCTGGAGAGGAAACTCAACGTGAGACTCTCTCTCTCCACAGATGGCTGCGGCTGCATAAAAGCTGCTAAAAAATAAAAAAAATGATTGTTGTGACAATAAGAAAGTACAGACACTGTAACAGTCCAATTCACACATACTACATCCGACAAAGCACAAAGTCCTACAGCAGTAGCCATCCAAAGTGAGACATGTAGTCGGCTGTATTGTAGTACAAGCTAATAAAACCTTAAATTGCACAACATTCAGTGGTCTAATGAGAAATGCTCCCCACTTTTCGAAACATCTACATGAGTTATTTTCGCCCATTCTGCCTCTCTGCGCTACCTTTCAGCCACGTTCCCACCTCCCCACGTGCCTGTGAATCTTAGCTTCACTGCACAAAATAAACTATCTCGGATGAATTATACTTCAAAGACCCGTAAGCCCCTGAAGACATAAAGTGTTTTTGTAAGGTGTAATTAATATCCAAAAATAGCCAGTGGCACTGTAGGTTGGTAGGAAACGAGAGCATTTCTTGGAACTATTTTCAGTGGCGGATGAATACACTTTTGGTGCACAAGCATCTGCAACGGTTTCGGAGGGGGGGAAAGACAGATCTTTGGCCGCACGGGCGATACTTGTTTGCGGCATTAATTAGTTGCTGCTTTTTGGTCTTTTCGTGGGGCCCGATAACAAGAAGGAAACGAAGCCATGTCTCCAGACGTATCCTTTAAATAAACAGAGGAGGAAGATGCTGATAAAGATTTAAGCGAGAAGACAAAAGATGGCATGTGACGTAGAAAAGATGGTGGGAGCAAGGAGGGGGGAGCACATATGTAAGAATGAGCAGTGCCGAGCCCCCTGCAATCGCATCAGAAAACACACACATTCACAGCAGCACCAATCTAAATATAGTCCTGCTGGAGAGAGAGAGACAGAGAGAGAGAGGAGCAGGAAGAATCTGGGGAGGAAACAGGAGGGAGGAGAAGGGAGCTGTACAGGGTTAAAAGATGACATCATCCCCCTTGTCCTCCTCCTGCCTCTCTCATCTTTCCATCACCAGGGTGCCTCCCATCTTTTCCTCTCTTTACTTCCACCATCTTTCCCCTTCGTCTGCTCCACCCATCAATCTCCCCGTGGCTTCATTTCTCTTTTTTTCTCAAATGAGCAAGTACAGCTCTAGTCTTTAAATAACAGTTATTCTGTTTGGGGCTGAGCCTGAGCGTGTGTGCGTGTGTGCGTGTGTGTGTGTGTGTGTGTGTGTGTGTGTGTGTGTGTGTGTGTGTGTGTGTCAGACAGGGAAAAAGAGGACAGCTTCTGTTTTAGCCACTATCCAAGCCGCCTCTGCACCGCTGTCATTTAGCTTTGACACACACCGACACACTCCTTCTCAATGCACAGACACAGTGACGCAGAGAGGATGGAAAGGGAAGGGGGAGAAAGCAAGAGAAGAGGACAGAGGCGGATAAAGAGCCAGAGGGAGAGAGACACGGGGATGGTATATGGGAGCTACAGCAGCTATATGTAGAAGTCAGGGCAGTATAAATATCACCTTAAGGGGTTTAAGTGACGCTTAAAGTCCCTCGCTAAAGATCTAATCCTCCTTATAACACGGCCACTTCATCACAAAGTGTCTGGGCAGCACGTAGCGCTCACCATTCTGCTTATGAAAAGCCTGATTAGAAAAAGAAAAGTGAGGCGGGATGTTATCGCGTTTGATTGACTGCACCCCCACTACGCCGTCGCACCGCTTCATATATTTTCAAGAACACTGAAGAGCACAACAACAATTTGACTGGCCAGAAAGAACGGGGAAAATCACCCCGCTGCTTTAAATGAGAGTAGGAGGAAGTTGTCACCAGGTGATGGTACTGGGAATGGGTAATGAGACTGGCTGGGCATTAGCATATAAGGTGTAAATAAAGTTGTACATCTGCAAGCCGGAA